CCCCCTCCCCCCCCTTCCCCCCTCCCCCCCCCCCTCTCCCCCCCTCCCTCCCCTCCCCCTCTCCCCCCCTCCCTCCCTCCCCTCCCTCCCCCTTCCCTCTCCCCCCTTCCCCCCCTCCCCTCCCCCCCCCTCTCCCCCTTCCCTACCCCCTCCCCCTCCCTCTCCCTCTCCCTCTCCCTCTCCCCTCCCTCCCTTCTCCCCTCCTCTCCCCTCTCTCCCTCTCTCCTCCTCCTCCCTCTCCCTCCCTCTCCCTCTCCCTCTCCGTGTTGAAAACACGTGCCACTTTGTGCGGCTAATAGATACAATACCTTATTAGCTACTCATGAGTTTTAGTACTAAACATTATTATTGTATGATTTTCTAGTTATTAAACAATAAACATTGCTAAACTTTCTTCACACTCACTTTAATTAAATCACCCCGACCACCTACCGGACACACTGTTCTCACATTTCCTCTGTTACTGTTAGTTACTACTCTGTTACTGCTATAGTACTGTTCTTGAAGAGTACCCCCCAATTCCGTGTTCTGTTACTAATGAAAAGAGGTGTCCACTTGGATCAGAGAGTTAAAAGATACATTGTAACTGTCGCTATGTGTTCTTGTGTGGTGCAGTAACAGATTACTGGGAATATAGTGTTCCTAATTATCTTATTAAATGTAAAATCACGTGGTATGACGTGGTATCACGTGGTTATGTGTGTTATAAACCTGCTCTTGTGCACAATAAAGTTCGTGATAAAACCCAGATTTACCGTGGACCCAGATTTACCGTGGCTTTTGCCTTTCCCCCCAAACTCCGCAGTAAATCTTATAATACGGAAGGAAGCTCATAATTTTAAAGTTGAATCTAGCTTCATTACAAAAATCTATTTTACATCAAATTTTTGTTGTAAAATACCAAGCCAAAAAACACACGTGTTTTCTCTCTTTTTACTTGAAATGCATGTTGAACACTACGTCACATGTACACTATCAAGTGTGGGAGAACACGTTGCAGCTTGTAACTTGTTGTGCTACTTGTCGCTAATAAGAAGTACAAGATATCTAAATGTGTACTAGGTTGTGTATAATAATGTGAGACTACAACCAATCTGCAGGTGGTAGCTGGTTTCCCTCTCCCTCTCCCCTCCCCTGGTCCTTTCTAACAATTCCACCTAACTTATTGTAAAGTTTTAAAATTTCATTTTTTCCTTTTCACCCTTTTGAAAAAAGGCAATAGTGAAAGGTTACGAATGGAGGTTTTTGCAGAAAAACGTGGATTTTGGAGAACGAGATAGGTGGGTTTAAATATGTCGTGTGTTCGTTCGTTACCATGCAACGAAAAAGTTGGGCGCGCGCGAGGATTGCTTGCGGAGATGTGATGTATAGATAGCCTGTGATCTATGAATGCGCGGCGCGACTGTGTATATGATGCATGTAATGTATAATATTACTATTAGGTAATACACCCAATTTGTACGTGGCACGCGTAGTGTATTGATGTGTACACGAGTATATATAATTGATTCACGATGTCAATCCTTCGCAGCTCGGTGAGGCACAGTGGTGCATCTCGCCGATCTACCGAAGGTAGAGAAGCGTTGGTTGCGAGAAGCGTTGGTTGCGAGAAGCATTATTTGATGCGCGCGCGACCCAGTAGTGCATCGCGCTACAAATATATAATAGTTTACCTTTGCTGATAATTTCTTGAATTACAGATACAAGTTAAGTTCTACGGCAATTGAACTGAATTTCAAGTGTTTCCCGTATTTGATGCATAATTGATCAATATTATTATCATGAAGATTGAAGTGAGCTGATTGGAGCTTATAGTTATACTTAAATTTATAGTAAATGTGAAATGGAAATCTAGCGTCCGCCAAAACGAAACAACGGGCGCAATTCTTGTTTTAATGTTTAATAACCTGGAATCTTCAATCTTAACTTTTAAATTTTCTTATCGTAAATCGTTGATTTTATCAAGTGACACTAATTGTGTAACTCCTTGTTTGGGCATCACGTGACACTAGTTGAAGCGGTTTAGCACACCTGATTAGTGTGGATCTACTTGTAGAGCTAGTGGTATCACAGTAATCGGGGGTATACATTGTGTGTCACGTGATACTGTGCTCTAAACACATAAAACAAACAGTGTGTTACTATGTTTACACTGTTACTCTCAGTTATCAGCGTTACACTGTTACGCTGATAACTGGTATTACGTAAGATAATTTGATAATTATCGGTAATTAGTAATTAATTTGATTCACTTGGAAGAAACTGACATCAACACGGTCTCCCTCCCCATCACGACTTACCAAAGGTCGTAACTTGAACTAAAAAACAGAAAAACCACGATGTACCGCGGGGTTTGGGGTAATAAGGAAATGGCTGCGGTAAATTTAACTGTAATCCCTAAAAGAACATACCGGAAAGTTTCAGTCTGAATAATTGGGCACCATTTCCGTATAAAGCAGTAGTCTTAGTTCACTGACTACAGTGAAGAAGATGAGACGGGTGAGGAGGTTAATCGCAGTCACGTGTTTAAAATGGATAACTAGCCTTTACTGTTAATCAAAGTTTAAACTGTTACAAAATATGTAAAAACGGATACGAAACTAATATGTACACCAAATTTAATACGGTCTGTATTGCGCGATGAAATATATTGTGTTAATGTTTGCGCTCGCTACAATTTCTTCACGAGCGCGACGCGCGCAATCCGTCTTATCTGCACAGTGCTGCTCTTATCTGTGCTCCCGGCCCACTATTAATCGCTCGATCGAGCGTGCTAATATAAAGCGTGCTAATATATAATCACTCTACAGTCGATCCTCGAGATTTTCTAACGATCCATGACTCAAAGTGCCTAAGGCATAAAAAAATTCAAGGACAAGGGTCAGCAATCAACGAGTTTTTTTGTATATGGTAGCTGTAGCTTGCGAGCGAACTATTATATATTTGACACAATCTGCAACCGACCACCCCTTTCGATTGCGCAGCGGCCGGTCGGCCGCAAAAGGGGTTGCCTTTTGCGCGATGCACTACTGCGCCGCGCATCTTCTCTCAACCACTTCAGTAGATCGGCGAGATGCGAAGGATTGACATCGTAAATCAAACGCTTCGCGTGCAAGAAAGGTATGCAACGTGTAGCAAGTACTATTAATTGACGATGTCAATTCATCGCAGCTCGGCGAGGTACAGTAGCGCATCTCGCCGATATAGCGTTGCGAGAAGCATAATTGAGTGCGCGGCACAGTAACGCATCGCGCTACAACAAGTACTATATATTAGAGGTCATGATCTGCAGAGTTGTGATACAACAGTCAATTGAATGTCATGACCTCTTATAGAGTGTTGTTTCACAACACTTGCAAGTGTTGTGAAACAACACTCTATAAGAGGTCATGATCTGAAGTGTTGTGATGCAACACTCAATTAAAGGTCGTGATACAACCGCTCCTACTAAATCGCTCGCCCAAATTTTAAGAAAATTCTTGTGAAAAGGCCTTTTGGGTATGAAATTGATCTGGATCGGTGTATTTTTGGAAAATGCTTCCCTGGAGAGTTATGGGCAAAAAACCGTTTTGGTCACGTGACAGGCTAGTAAAACATGAATTCGATTGTTTAGGGCTCGGGTTAGGGTTAGGGTTGTGGTAAGGGTTATGGGTAGCTTCGGGGTTATGGTTAGGGTTAGGGTTGGGATTAGGGTTTATGTAAAACCGTTTTGTACGGCTGCAAAACCATAAAAACTAAAGTCACGTGAAATTTTTGGGCGAGCGAATTAGTAAGAGCCTGATACAACACTCAATTAAAGGTCATGACATCAAGTTTTGTGAAACAACACTGTATTAGCTAGGTCTTAATTAACGATGTCAATTCATCGCAGCTGATCGGCGCGGCACAGTAGCGCATCTCGCCGATCTAGCGTTGCGAGAAGCATAATTGAGTGCGCGGCGAGGCACAGTAACGCATCGCGCTACAACAAGTACTATATATTAGAGGTCATGATCTGAAGAGTTGTGAGACAACACTCAATTAGAGGTCATGATCTGAAAAGTTGTGATACAACACTCTATTAGAGGTCATGATCTGAAGAGTTGTGATACAACACTCAATTAAAGGTCATGACATCAAGTTTTGTGAAACAACACTCTATTAGAGGTCATGATCTGAAGTGTTGTGATACAACACTCTATTAGAGGTCATGATCTGAAGTGTTGTGATACAACACTCTATTAGAGGTCATGATCTGAAGAGTTGTGATACAACACTCTATTAGAGGTCATGATCTGAAGTGTTGTGATACAACACTCAATTAAAGGTCATGACATCAAGTTTTGTGAAACAACACTCTATTAGAGGTCATGATCTGAAGAGTTGTGATACAACACTCAATTGAAGGTCATGACATCAAGTTTTGTGAAACAACACTCTATTAGAGGTCATGATCTGAAAAGTTGTGATACAACACTCTATTAGAGGTCATGATCTGAAGAGTTGTGATACAACACTCAATTAAAGGTCATGACATCAAGTGTTGTGATACAACACTCTATAAGAGGTCATGATCTGAAGTGTTGTGATACAACACTCAATTAAAGGTCATGACATCAAGTTTTGTGATACAACACTCTATTAGAGGTCATGTCCATGATCTGAAGAGTTGTGATACAACCTCTAACAGTCAGAACTTTTCAGACCTCGATCTCTAATGCACTGTTTTGATATTTCTGCTCCTTAAAGTTTTATCTTAAAGGATAATTGAATCGTTGGTCAAACCGACTTCTCTTTAATAAAGCATCCAAACTCAGTTCCGTAGTAAAGCGTAGAACCACGAGTCTGAGTGCTAGCTCTATTATGACTGTCTCCTGACGATCTCCTCCCGGCTGGACACTTGACACCGCCCCATTGGACCCTGGGGCCCACGTGTTCCCTCTCCACTGCCCTATTCGTAGAGAGGGTGCGAGAAACTTATTTAGCGTGTAACTCTAGATGCATTTATAAGGCGCAGAGGAAGGCATATAGCTCATATAGTGCGGACTATTATGGTATCAAGTAACACCCTCAAGCCAGATTGACAGACTTTCTCACTGTTTTTGAAGCTGAGTTAGGAGCTAGTTCTATTTTGTGATTGTGTCATGGTTATGGAACATTTTGTTACACCTTTTCTAGGCATACCCTTTCCAATGCAAGCTTCTTCCGAGGTTAGTTTATCGGTTGTAAATAATAAACATGATAATATGCAGTTTTAATTATTATATTGTCATAAATGATTCATTTCGTTATCGCACACAGATCAATTATAGCTGAATTAAGCTAAGTTCGATAAAATGTTTTGTTAATAATACGTAATTTTACCTGAAACATGTGCATTAAGTCTAATGGCCCAAACAACATTAACTAATAACAACTTATATTGCAGCTCCAAACTCCTTCCCACGGCTCAAACAAAGTGTCCTCCTCCAAGAACAGTGACAGTCGCAAGAACTGCAGAAAGAGGAGAAAGTTGAGCGGGATAAAAAGGATCTCAGCTACAACCCGGGAGAGGAGCAGAATAGAACACCTCAACTGCGCTTTTATCACGGTAAGTTAGTACTCCGTTCAGCTCGTCACGGTAAGTTAGTGTTCAGCTCGTCACGGTAAGTTAGTACTCCGTTCAGCTCGTCACGGTAAGTTAGTACTCCGTTCAGCTCGTCACGGTAAGTTAGTACTCCGTTCAGCTCGTCACGGTAAGTTAGTACTCCGATCAGCTCGTCACGGTAAGTTAGTACTCCGTTCAGCTCGTCACGGTAAGTTAGTACTCCGTTCAGCTCGTCACGGTAAGTTAGTACTCCGTTCAGCTCGTCACGGTAAGTTAGTACTCCGTTCAGCTCGTCACGGTAAGTAAGTTCTCCGTTCAGCTCGTCACGGTAAGTTAGTACTCCGTTCAGCTCGTCACGGTAAGTTAGTACTCCGTTCAGCTCGTCACGGTAAGTTAGTACTCCGTTCAGCTCGTCACGGTAAGTTAGTACTCCGTTCAGCTCGTCACGGTAAGTAAGTTCTCCGTTCAGCTCGTCACGGTAAGTTAGTACTCCGTTCAGCTCGTCACGGTAAGTTAGTACTCCGTTCAGCTCGTCACAGTAAGTTAGTACTCGTCATTTTGCGATAACGATTTTATCAATATTGATCTATAAGCTGTAGATGTCTCGCTTTATATATAGTTAAAGATAGATGGCTATAATAATAAAACTAATAAATTGTACCAAGATTTTCCTGGTTCTAACTAAGTTCTGATAGGAGGCCGAACAAATGAAGTTTGATGAGATTAGCTGGCTAGAAATAAATGTAGATTGTAGATATGTCCACATTGACAGACAGACAACAATTACAGCTGCGGAGTCGTATCCCCACTCAGCCCTCTGATGTGAAGTTAACAAAGGTTGAGACCCTGCGGCTAGCTATGAGCTACATGATGCACCTGGAGAAGCTTCTGGGGGATATTTCAGAGCAAGAGGGTACAGGCAGCTCCGAGGTCTCATCCACTTCGGAGATCAAGACATCGCGGGTTTGTGGTTTTATATTAGTTCACTCTAATTACTTATAAAGTATTAGCTAGAGGTATCAACTAAACGTAACTGGTGCTGATAGTAATGACTGAAAGCAGTGTGAGGAATGAGTGGCCCTGAATGAGTGCTAACAACTACTCACCTCAGGAGGACGGAGTGGCGTGTCCCCGGGTAGTTAGAGTCTACCCCTCCTACCCTGTCCACTCAGAACACTCGTGACACGTGGTGTGACGTCATGACACGTGGTGTGACGTCATGACACGTGGTGCTAACAACTACTCACCTCAGGAGGACGGAGTGGCGTGTCCCCGGGTAGTTAGAGTCTACCCCTCCTACCCTGTCCACTCAGAACACTCGTGACACGTGGTGTGACGTCATGACACGTGGTGTGACGTCATGACACGTGGTGCTAACAACTACTCACCTCAGGAGGACGGAGTGGCGTGTCCCCGGGTAGTTAGAGTCTACCCCTCCTACCCTGTCCACTCAGAACACTCGTGACACGTGGTGTGACGTCATGACACGTGGTGTGACGTCATGACACGTGGTGCTAACAACTATTCACCTCAGGAGGACGGAGTGGCGTGTCCCCGGGTAGTTAGAGTCTACCCCTCCTACCCTGTCCACTCAGAACACTCGTGACACGTGGTGTGACGTCATGACACGTGGTGTGACGTCATGACACGTGGTGCTAACAACTACTCACCTCAGGAGGACGGAGTGGCGTGTCCCCGGGTAGTTAGAGTCTACCCCTCCTACCCTGTCCACTCAGAACACTCATGACACGTGGTGTGACGTCATGACACGTGGTGTGACGTCATGACACGTGGTGCTAACAACTACTCACCTCAGGAGGACGGAGTGGCGTGTCCCCGGGTAGTTAGAGTCTACCCCTCCTACCCTGTCCACTCAGAACACTCGTGACACGTGGTGTGACGTCATGACACGTGGTGTGACGTCATGACACGTGGTGCTAACAACTACTCACCTCAGGAGGACGGAGTGGCGTGTCCCCGGGTAGTTAGAGTCTACCCCTCCTACCCTGTCCACTCAGAACACTCGTGACACGTGGTGTGACGTCATGACACGTGGTGTGACGTCATGACACGTGGTGCTAACAACTACTCACCTCAGGAGGACGGAGTGGCGTGTCCCCGGGTAGTTAGAGTCTACCCCTCCTACCCTGTCCACTCAGAACACTCGTGACACGTGGTGTGACGTCATGACACGTGGTGTGACGTCATGACACGTGGTGCTAACAACTACTCACCTCAGGAGGACGGAGTGGCGTGTCCCCGGGTAGTTAGAGTCTACCCCTCCTACCCTGTCCACTCAGAACACTCGTGACACGTGGTGTGACGTCATGACACGTGGTGTGACGTCATGACACGTGGTGCTAATAACTACTCACCCCAGGAGGACGGAGTGGCGTGTCCCCGGGTAGTTAGAGTCTACCCCTCCTACCCTGTCCACTCAGAACACTCGGAGTACGGGTCCTGGAACCCTCAGTACGGACTCCCTGTCCGACCTATCCCTACCATGGACTCTCATTTCATCCTCAAAAAGGGAGACAAGAACTAATCCGCTTCACAGCTAATATTTTAGATGTTTTGCTGGTTTAAATCAATTATTAATACAATATATTTATTTATCAAATAGACTTACATAATTTACTTGATTTTCATTTCATTATATTATTGTAGTAAATTACCTTACATTTTAAGATTCATCCTCGGTTTAAAAAAAATTTCCTCTGAAGCTCTTAGGAAACATAACAGAAGGGAATTATTAGTTCTAATACTTCCTTAGATCCTTCAGTTTATGGGTGTTTCATGTTTATAACGATCATTTATTTGAACGTTTATAATTTTATAATGGCGTAACGTCGCAGGATTAAGTTTAATGTTATATTTAATTTTATTAAATCGTACGCTATTTACATTGTCCGTTAATTGATCGTTTTACTTTTATAAATTCCATCCCAGTACCAAAATTAATGACTCACGTTCTCTCCTTCTTAAGGTACCGTTCATATATTGTCCCACAATGCAGATCCATCTTCATATATTGTCCCACAATGCAGATCCATCTTCTTATATTGTCCCACAATGCAGATCCCTCTTCTTATATTGTCCCACAATGCAGAACCCTCTTCTTATATTGTCCCACAATGCAGATCCATCTTCTTATATTGTCCCACAATGCAGATCCATCTTCTTATATTGTCCCACAATGCAGAACCATCTTCTTATATTGTCCCACAATGCAGAATGCAGATCCATATTCTTATATTGTCCCACAATGCAGATCCAACTTCTTATATTGCCCCACAATGCAGATCCATCTTCTTATATTGTCCCACAATGCAGATCCATCTTCTTATATTGTTCCACAATGCAGATCCATCTTCTTATATTGTCCCACAATGCACATCCCTCTTCTTATATTGTCCCACAATGCAGATCCATCTTCTTATATTGTCCCATAATGCAGAACCATCTTCTTATATTGTCCCACAATGCAGATCCCTCTTCTTATATTGTCCCACAATGCAGATCCATCTTCTTATATTGTCCCACAATGCAGATCCCTCTTCTTATATTGTCCCACAATGCATATCCATCTTCTTTTATTGTCCCACAATGCAGATCCCTCTTCATATATTGTCCCAAAATGCAGATCCATCTTCTTATATTGTCCCACAATGCAGATACATCTTCTTATATTGTCCCACAATGCAGATCCCTCTTCATATATTGTCCCACAATGCATATCCATCTTCATATATTGTCCCACAATGCAGATCCCTCTTCATATATTGTCCCACAATGCAGATCCCTCTTCTTATATTGTCCCACCATCCCTCTTCAGCACAGTCTAGACTGCAATATTGTTATTGTGAAGAAATGAAACTAATGCAAACATTTCCAAACCCCCTGTACCTTACAAGCAAATAGAACTTAATAATTAAGGTCTATAGATTTTGCTACTATAACTTCTTGACGAAGTTATCTTACTATATATAAAGCGAGACGATAGTTTTCCGTGCCATTTTACTGACACATGACTTGCGAAGATAAGATGAAGTATTGACTGAAAATTTAATCACTGAGTTACCTTTTCTGTAGTAAATTGTGTAGGGTTAACTTCATTGTTAGTGGTATTTAGATATATTAAGGTGCTAGATGTGATATAATTGTCAATAGTCAGACTGAGACTCTGTATTTAAGAGATTTTGCCGATGTTCTCACTGGTTTCTTCCCGCAAAAGTTCGGCAAAACTTTTGTAGGAACTGACCAAACTGGAACCAGTCCAGCTTTAACGCGAACTTAATTGAAATTGTTTGTCCTTTCCAAACCCAGTTCTGTAGTAAAGCGTAGAACCACGAGTCTGAGTGCTAGCTCTATTATGACTGTCTCCTGACGATCTCCTCCCGGCTGGACACTTGACACCGCCCCATTGGACCCTGGGGCCCACGTGTCCCCTCTCCACTGCCCTATTCGTAGAGAGGGTGCGAGAAACTTATTTAGCGTGTAACTCTAGATGCATTTATAAGGCGCAGAGGAAGGCATATAGCTCATATAGTGCGGACTATTATGGTATCAAGTAACACCCTCAAGCCAGATTGACAGACTTTCTCACTGTTTTTGAAGCTGAGTTAGGAGCTAGTTCTATTTTGTGATTGTGTCATGGTTATGGAACATTTTGTTACACCTTTTGTTGGCATACCCTTTCCAATGCAAGCTTCTTCCGAGGTTAGTTTATCGGTTGTAAATTATAAACATAATATGCAGTTTTAATACTTATATTGTCATACATAATTAATTTCGTTTTATCACACACAGATCAATTATATGTATATTCTTAATTCCCCCTTGCAGTGCCCCTCCCACCCCCCTCCCCCCCCCCCCCCCCATTTGCGGCCTAAACTACAATAACTTCCACTCCATACTCCCCCTCCTAAACTACAATAACTACCACTCCAGACTTCCTCCCCGCCCCCTCAAACTACAATAACTTCCACTCCAGACTTCCTCCCCCTCCTCCTAAACTACAATAACTACCACTCCAGACTTTCTCCCCCCCCCCCCCTTCCCTAAACTACAATAACTTCCACTCCAGACTTCCTCCTCCCCCCTCAAACTACAATAACTTCCACTCCAGACTTTCTCCCCCTCCTAAACTACAATAACTTCCACTCCAGACTCCCCCCCCTCCTAAACTACAATAACTTCCACTCCAGACTTCCTCCCCCAACCCCCTTCCTAAATTACAATAACTACCACTCCAGACTTCCTCCCCCCCTCAAACTACAATAACTTCCACTCCAGACTTCCTCCCCCTCCTCCTAAACTACAATAACTACCCCTCCAGACTTTCTCCCCCCCCCCCTTCCCTAAACTACAATAACTTCCACTCCAGACTTCCTCCTCCCCCCCTCAAACTACAATAACTACCACTCCAGACTTCCTCCCCCCCCCTCAAACTACAATAACTTCCACTCCAGACTTCCTCCCCCTCCTCCTAAACTACAATAACTACCACTCCAGACTTTCTCCACCCCTTCCCTAAACTACAATAACTTCCACTCCAGACTTCCTCCTCCCCCCCCCCTCAAACTACAATAACTACCACTCCAGACTTTGTCCCCCCCCCTTCCCTAAACTACAATAACTTCCACTCCAGACTTCCTCCTCCCCCCCTCAAACTACAATAACTTCCACTCCAGACTTCTTCTCCCCATGGCTCAAGCAAGGTGTCCTCCTCTTCTAAGCACAGCAGTCGGAAAAATTGCAGAAAGAGGAGAAAGTTGAGCGGAATGAAGAGAATCGCTGCTACCACGCGAGAGAGGAGCAGAATTGAACACCTCAACCTAGCGTTCATCACGGTAACCTAGCAACATCACGTGTTACCTAGCGTTCATCACGGTAACCTAGCAACATCACGTGTTACCTAGCGTTCATCACGTGTTACCTAGCGTTCATCACGGTAACCTAGCAACATCACGTGTTACCTAGCAACATCACGTGTAACCTAGCAACATCACGTGTAACCTAGCAACATCACGTGTAACCTAGCAACATCACGTGTTACCTAGCGTTCATCACGGTAACCTAGCAACATCACGTGTAACCTAGCAACATCACGTGTTACCTAGCGTTTATCACGGTAACCTAGCCCTTTATTCAGGCTGGGTTGAAATCAAAAGGAGTTTAGATATTAGACTTCTACTTTAAACTTCTAGTTGGGCCAATATTATAGCTCGTGAAATTATGGTTAAAGATTGGGCCAATATCTCGTGAACGATCGTTTAGTTGTTCTCGAGTAATAAGACGCACAATGCCTTATACAAATTATTATTTGTTTCCAATTATCAAATAAAGGAATTATCCTTCAAGGTTTGCACTTAAAGGGTGAGTAAAGTCAAATTTAACAGCTGTTTTATATACCTTATCGGCCCTAATTTGGCTGGCGCTAATTTGTTCGACCTTCAACTGGACCTTCAAAAAAACGTTTGCAGTATTATGGATTAGTCAGCTTATTTGTAATTACTTGCCGTATCCGTATAAATACAAATTTTAAATAGCTAAAATTTGTAAAGTCAAAACTTTTCCGGTCCAAATTTGGCTGGCCAAGAAGTCCAAAGTAGCTGAATTTCGCCAAATGAGTGCCGATTAGATTATCTGTGAATATGTCCACATTGACAGACAACAATTACAGTTGCGGAGTCGTATCCCCACACAGCCCTCTGATGTCAAGTTGACAAAGGTTGAGACCCTGCGGCTAGCTATGAGCTACATAAGTCATCTGGAGAAACTGGTGGGGGAAATTTCAGAGCAAGAGAAAGGGAGTATTGGGAGTTCAGAAGTTTCATCTACTTCAGAGATCAAGACCTCACGGGTTGGTAATTTCAACATTGGAGATTTACCCTAGAGATTAGCCCTGGAGACTAACCCTAGAGATTAACCCTGGAAATTAACTCTGTAGATTAACCCTGGAGATTTTCCATAAATATTAGGGAAGGCCTCACGGGTTAGTGATTTCAACACTGGAGATTTTCCCTGAAGATTAACCCTGGAGATTAACCCTGGAGACTATCCCTGGAGATTAACCCTGAAGATTAACCCTGGAGATTAACCCTGGAGATTAGCCCTGGAGATTAACCCGGGAGATTAACCCTGGAGAATAACCCTGGAGATTAACCCTGGAGACTAACCCTGGATATTAACCCTGGAGACTAACTCTGAGACTAACTCTGAGACTAACCCTGGAGATTTTCCCTGAAGATTAACCCTGAAGATTAACCCTGGAGACTAACCCTGGAGATCAACCCTGGAGATTAGCCCTGGAGATTAACCCTGGAGATTAACCCTGGAGATTAACCCTGAGACTAACCCTGGAGACTAACCCTGGAGATTAAACCTGGAGATTAACCCTGGAGACTAACCCTGGAGACTAACCCTGGAGATTAACCCTGGAGATTAACCCTGGAGATTAACCCTGAGACTAACCCTGAGACTAACCCTGGAGACTAACCCTGGAGACTAACCCTGGAGATTAAACCTGGAGATTAACCCTGGAGACTAACCCTGGAGACTAACCCTGGAGATTAGCCCTGGAGACTAACCCTGGAGATTAACCCTGGAGATTAACCCTGGAGATTAACCCTGAGACTAACCCTGGAGATTAACCCTGGAGATTAGCCCTGGAGACTAACCCTGGAGATTAACCCTGGAGATTAACCCTGGAGATTAACCCTGGAGACTAACCCTGAGACTAACCCTGGAGATTAACCCTGGAGATTAACCCTGGAGACTAAACCTGGAGATTAACCCTGGAGACTAACCCTGGAGATTAGCCCTGGAGACTAACCCTGGAGACTAACCCTGGAGATTAACCCTGGAGATTAACCCTGGAGATTAACCCTGGAGATTAACCCTGGAGATTAACCCTGAGACTAACCCTGGAGATTAATCCCGGAGATTAACCCTGCAGATTAGCCCTGGAGACTAACCCTGGAGATTAACCCTGGAGATTAACCCTGGAGACTAACCCTGGAGATCAACCCTGGAGATTAACCCTGGAGATTAACCCTGGAGACTAACCCTGGAGACTAACCCTGGAGATTAACCCTGAGACTAACCCTGGAGATTAACCCTGGAGATTAACCCTGGAGATTAGCCCTGGAGACTAACCCTGGAGACTAACCCTGGAGATTAACCCTGGAGATTAACCCTGGAGATTAAGCAATGGATTATATCACCTCTACTTGACTAACTGTTAATGAGCATTTTAACTGATAAATTATTGCTGGAAACATACATTAGAAAATTTAAACGTAACTGGTGCTGATAGTGATGACTGAAAGCAGTGTGAGGAATGAGTGGCCCTGAATGAGTGCTAATAACTACTCACCCCAGGAGGACGGAGTGGCGTGTCCTCGGGTAGTTAGAGTCTACCCCTCCTACCCTGTCCACTCAGAACACTCGTGACACGTGGTGTGACGTCATGACACGTGGTGTGACGTCATGACACGTGGTGCTAACAACTACTCACCTCAGGAGGACGGAGTGGCGTGTCCCCGGGTAGTTAGAGTCTACCCCTCCTACCCTGTCCACTCAGAACACTCGTGACACGTGGTGTGACGTCATGACACGTGGTGTGACGTCATGACACGTGGTGCTAACAACTACTCACCTCAGGAGGACGGAGTGGCGTGTCCCCGGGTAGTTAGAGTCTACCCCTCCTACCCTGTCCACTCAGAACACTCGTGACACGTGGTGTGACGTCATGACACGTGGTGTGACGTCATGACACGTGGTGCTAACAACTACTCACCTCAGGAGGCCGGAGTGGCGTGTCCCCGGGTAGTTAGAGTCTACCCCTCCTACCCTGTCCACTCAGAACACTCGTGACACGTGGTGTGACGTCATGACACGTGGTGTGACGTCATGACACGTGGTGCTAACAACTACTCACCTCAGGAGGACGGAGTGGCGTGTCCCCGGGTAGTTAGAGTCTACCCCTCCTACCCTGTCCACTCAGAACACTCGTGACACGTGGTGTGACGTCATGACACGTGGTGTGACGTCATGACACGTGGTGCTAACAACTACTCACCTCAGGAGGACGGAGTGGCGTGTCCCCGGGTAGTTAGAGTCTACCCCTCCTACCCTGTCCACTCAGAACACTCGTGACACGTGGTGTGACGTCATGACACGTGGTGTGACGTCATGACACGTGGTGCTAACAACTACTCACCTCAGGAGGCCGGAGTGGCGTGTCCCCGGGTAGTTAGAGTCTACCCCTCCTACCCTGTCCACTCAGAACACTCGTGACACGTGGTGTGACGTCATGACACGTGGTGTGACGTCATGACACGTGGTGCTAACAACTACTCACCTCAGGAGGACGGAGTGGCGTGTCCCCGGGTAGTTAGAGTCTACCCCTCCTACCCTGTCCACTCAGAACACTCGTGACACGTGGTGTGACGTCATGACACGTGGTGTGACGTCATGACACGTGGTGCTAACAACTACTCACCCCAGGAGGACGGAGTGGCGTGTCCCCGGGTAGTTAGAGTCTACCCCTCCTACCCTGTCCACTCAGAACACTCGTGACACGTGGTGTGACGTCATGACACGTGGTGTGACGTCATGACACGTGGTGCTAACAACTACTCACCTCAGGAGGACGGAGTGGCGTGTCCCCGGGTAGTTAGAGTCTACCCCTCCTACCCTGTCCACTCAGAACACTCGTGACACGTGGTGTGACGTCATGACACGTGGTGTGACGTCATGACACGTGGTGCTAACAACTATTCACCTCAGGAGGACGGAGTGGCGTGTCCCCGGGTAGTTAGAGTCTACCCCTCCTACCCTGTCCACTCAGAACACTCGTGACACGTGGTGTGACGTCATGACACGTGGTGTGACGTCATGACACGTGGTGCTAACAACTACTCACCTCAGGAGGACGGAGTGGCGTGTCCCCGGGTAGTTAGAGTCTACCCCTCCTACCCTGTCCACTCAGAACACTCGTGACACGTGGTGTGACGTCATGACACGTGGTGTGACGTCATGACACGTGGTGCTAACAACTACTCACCTCAGGAGGACGGAGTGGCGTGTCCCCGGGTAGTTAGAGTCTACCCCTCCTACCCTGTCCACTCAGAACACTCGGAGTACGGTTCCTGGAACCCTCAGTACGGACTCCCTGTCCGACCTATCCCTACCATGGACTCTCATTTCATCCTCAAAAAGGGAGACAAGAACTAATCCGCTTGACAGCTAATATTTGAGATGAATTTAACGGGTGTAATCATTCATTTATTCGTTATCCATTCTGATGAATTTTTTTGAATTGATTTTTAAAAATCCATTTTTATTGTTCAAATTCACTTAAATTAACTATTTAACTTGAAAGTTTAAGCATTAGGTGATGGAGTTTTAAGTTCGTTTTAAATATTTGCGATGGTAAACCAGTGTGATGAATTATTTCTAAACGTGTTTTTATTTAGGGGTAATTTTTAGTTGTTTTAGCGAAAAATTGTATGATTGAGCTTAAAATTGATCCGAGTTAGTTATCGAATCTCTAAAATCCCAATTTTGGTAGACTTGCCACATCTGATTGTTAATTTCTTAGTGTACACCTCTCTAATCCGTCGCTCTTTGTCTACATTAAAGTGATTCAAGCTCAACAGGTAGAGGGTGCATGGTGCTCTCTGATTATTCATCTCCCTCTCTCCCCTCTCTCCCCTCTCTCCTGTACACCAGTACACTGCTCTTTTGTACACTAGACCTTTAACGGCCCTTAATTGTTGGAACTTAGCTCTCTCCCGCAGCTTATAACACTGAGATAGCGTTAGAAAGAGAGCAAGGTCTAACACTGCAGCCCATTAGGATCAGGGCTAATCCTCGCTTAGTTTTTATTGTAGACGTTTAGGGGCTCCTGCCTTGCCGTGCCCTGCCTGGTACACAGTTCTAGTACACAGTTCTAGTACACAGTTCTAGTACACAGTTCTAGTACACAGTTCTAGTACACAGTTCTAGTTCACAGTTCTAGTACACAGTTCTAGTACACAGTTCTAGTACACAGTTCTAGTACACAGTTCTAGTACACAGTATTAGTACACAGTTCTAGTACACAGTTCTAGTGCACAGTTCTAGTGCACAGTTCTAGTACACAGTTCTAGTACACAGTTCTAGTACACAGTTCTAGTGCACAGTTCTAGTACACAGTTCTAGTACACAGTTCTAGTACACAGTTATAGTACACAGTTCTAGTACACAGTTCTAGTGCACAGTTCTAGTACACAGTTCTAGTACACAGTTCTAGTACACAGTTCTAGTACACAGTTCTAGTACACAGTTCTAGTGCACAGTTCTAGTACACAGTTCTAGTACACAGTTCTAGTACACAGTTCTAGTACACAGTTCTGGTACACAGTTCTAGTACACAGTTCTAGTACACAGTTCTGGTACACAGTTCTAGTACACAGTTCTAGTACACAGTTCTGGTACACAGTTCTAGTACACAGTTCTAGTACACAGTTCTAGTACACAGTTCTAGTACACAGTTCTAGTACACAGTTCTAGTGCACAGTTCTAGTACACAGTTCTAGTACACAGTTCTAGTACACAGTTCTAGTACCCAGTTCTTGTACACAGTCCTAGTACACAGTTCTAGTACACAGTTCTAGTACACAGTTCTAGTACACAGTTCTAGTACACAGTTCTAGAACACAGTTCTAGTACACAGTTCTAGTACACAGTTCTAGTACACAGTTCTAGTACACAGTTCTAGTACACAGTTCTAGTACACAGTTCTAGTACACAGTTCTAGTACACAGTTCTAGTACACAGTTCTAGTACACAGTTCTAGTACACAGTTCTAGTATAAATAGTTCTAGTACACAGTTCTAGTACACAGTTCTAGTACACAGTTCTTGTGCACAGTTCTAGAACACAGTTATAGTACACAGTTCTAGTACACAGTTCTAGTGCACAGTTCTAGTACACAGTTCTAGTGCACAGTTCTAGTACACAGTTCTAGTACACAGTTCTAGTACACAGTTCTAGTGCACAGTTCTAGTACACAGTTCTAGTACACAGTTCTAGTACACAGTTCTAGTACACAGTTCTGGTACACAGTTCTAGTACACAGTTCTAGTACACAGTTCTGGTACACAGTTCTAGTACACAGTTCTAGTGCACAGTTCTAGTACACAGTTCTAGTACACAGTTCTAGTACACAGTTCTAGTGCACAGTTCTAGTACACAGTTCTAGTACACAGTTCTAGTGCACAGTTCTAGTACACAGTTCTAGTACACAGTTCTAGTACACAGTTCTAGTACCCAGTTCTTGTACACAGTCCTAGTACACAGTTCTAGTACACAGTTCTAGTACACAGTTCTAGTACACAGTCCTAGTACACAGTTCTAGTACACAGTTCTAGTACACAGTTCTAGTACACAGTTATAGTACACAGTTCTAGTACACAGTTCTAGTACACAGTTCTAGTACACAGTTCTAGTACACAGTTCTAGTACACAGTTCTAGTACACAGTTATAGTACACAGTTCTAGTACACAGTTCTAGTACACAGTTCTAGTGCACAGTTCTAGTACACAGTTCTAGTACACAGTTCTAGTACACAGTTCTAGTACACAGTTCTAGTACACAGTTCTAGTACACAGTTCTAGTACACAGTTCTAGTACACAGTTCTAGTACACAGTTCTAGTACACAGTTCTAGTACACAGTTCTAGAACACAGTTCTAGTACACAGTTCTAGAACACAGTTCTAGTACACAGTTCTAGTACACAGTTCTAGTACACAGTTCTAGTACACAGTTCTAGTACACAGTTCTAGTACACAGTTCTAGTACACAGTTCTAGTACACAGTTCTAGTACACAGTTCTAGTACACAGTTCTAGTACACAGTTCTAGTATAATACAGCTCTAGTATAAATAGTTCTAGTATTCTTTTATTGGTACAATTAAAGCTGCAATGTGATCGTTAACTTTAATTTGCAGGGGGTTTTGAAATTCAGATTGTTCAGATATTTTCGTTCTGATAAAATGTTGACTGAATATGAAGTTTGAAGATTTCAGAATGTTTAAAGCTATCAGATGTCAGTAAACTCTATTGAGCCGCTAATCAGATCAGCCAGACATGAAGAGGACATGTGAGTGTATTTATATTTTTAGTGACCTCATTAATTGGTGACCTCATTAATCGGTCATTCAATAAAAATCCAGTCAAAACAGTGAAATTTGGGTCACGGAAAGCTGAAATCTGAAAATGTCCCACCGGTAGGAAAATTCCATAATTTTCCTTTCCCGAGAAAATCTTACCGTCTGGCGGGCATGCTAGAGGTGCTTTTTTACAACAAGTTTGAGCTTGCGCGCGACATTATGATTATTAGTTATAGTACACTGATTGTACAATTCAGCCAATCAGAGGACAGGAATCATATCCGCAAAAGTAAAGTTGCGAAATTTCATTCGGCCCAAAATAAAACTTTTTGGGATAACTTAAAATCTACATTGTCTCAAATTATTTTACGGGGGAAAAATTATTTTTAAGAGGGCGAGGCGAAAATTTTGTTAAAAATCGGAAGTCTATCTTTTTTACTTTCGCCAGTATTTTCTCCGAATATTCAGCTTCCAGTACCTCGATGGTGTCTTGTGTCACTCACACTGACCTCACTGATTACTGGTGAAACAGGAGCCAATATTGACCATTGTTAATGATCTGGCCCGGCGCGCGCTACTTCTGACTTCGTAGCTCGTGCATTTCGAGAAGAAAGCGGCGCGCGCTACTTCGAAGAAATTTAGACGAGTAACATCCGTCAAGAGCCAATAAAGGAAGAAGTACTGGGGACACCATACAACGCGATTGGAAAGAAAGAGAGGATATATCTATCTTTCGGACACGACGGGGACTACTCTGCAGTCTCAATGAGAAGGTTCATCGAGAGATATAAAGTGATCAAAGAGCTGAACATGCGGGCACGATTAAGAAGGTAGGACTCCCCATCCTACAGGGCTGGGAAGCTTTTATATCTTTAGCCTTCGAAAATAGCTTTAATAGGTAGTGCGCCATCGACAGTGTGAGTGAGCCGCGCGTGCCGACTGTAGGATGATTTTTTAGCGCTAATTTCGGACAGCACAATTTTCTTCAAACAAATAAATATTGAGTATTCTTCCCGACCTCTAATTGCAACAAAATTGGTAAGCTTACTCATAGACTTACAAGGAAAGTGTCCGAAAAATTTAAATACAAAGCATATCCAACCATCAGACATTATGTTAGTGTTAGTGTTACAGCTAAAAGCAGCGTATTTTGCCCCATTTTGATCACTTATAGTTATACACTATATCAACTCCGATATCCACCAAATTTTTCGGACACCTGTGAAAGCCCTATTGCCAATAGGGCTTTCACAGGTGTCCAATAGTATTGGAAGGTCGTCGCCAATTTTCAGAATGATCTCATTCAAGGAACCGAAGATATATCCGGATAATACGACAAAAATCAACGAATTTGGTTAAATTACGCGACTTTTACAGCTAATTTTGCTCCAAAAGCCGAGCACCATCAAATATGGCACCTAGGCGAAACTCACTGATCTTTCCAAGAAGGTATGACAAATTTGGTATTGTGAAAATTCTCACAGTCTCTAGAAAACAGTGGTACAAAAATTTTTTAAATCCGAGCAAGTTTATTTTGATCGTGCACCCCCTACTTTTAGTTTTACTGAATCGCTCGCCCAAAAATTTCACGTGACTTTGATTTTATAGTTTTGCAGCCGTACAAAACGGTTTTACATATAAACCCTAATCTGTAATCCCATGAACCCTAACCCTAACCATAACCCCGAAGCTATCCATAACCCTTACCACTTACCACAACCCTAACCCTAACCCGAGCCCTAAACAATCGAATTAATGTTTTATTAACCTGTCACGTGACCAAAATGGTTTTTTGCCCATAACTCTCCAGGAAAGCATTTCAACCCTACGTGATGGGGGTGCAATTCGGAATCAGCGTCCAAAAATACACCAATTTAGATCAACTTTATACCCAAAGGGCCTTTTAACAAGAATTTTCTTAAAATTTGGGCGAGCGATTTAGTGGGAGCGACAAATGTACCATGTAATTCTATTCACTATTTTACTGGCAGAAATTAGCGCTAAAAAACCATCTTACAGTCAGTATACGCGGCTCATTTTCGATGACGCACTGCCATCTAGGCAGTGCGTCATCGAAAATGACTAGTCCATATGCAGGACTAGTCCATATGCAGTATTACTGGTGTTCGAATCCCAGTTGGACAAAGATCTCAAACCTGAAGGGCAGCCGTCACTTACCAAACCATGGTGTGAATGTTACTGGTACATGGTCAATGGTAGTGGCTCTCATTAGAGCTGCGAAAATAACACGTGTGCATATGCCTGGGGTTGCTGCAGGGAAATCTGTACTGAAAGGACCGTGGCCGCACCGCAAAAGAAAGGAGATCGGCCCCTCAGTCCTAATTTACTATCTGATTTAGCCTTATTTTATTATTAAATCTAGATTGATGATTCTTTGAAACAAATTGTCTGGTTGCTTTTTGTTTGACTCAGTGATAACGATGTTATGAAACAGGGTAAAGAGGATATTAAGTTACTACATACAAAGTATTCATACTCTGAAGTCTGAAACTATGCTTATTCAATGCGTACTATCGTGTTATATGTGACTAGACTACAAATTTAAATTCAAATCTTAGCAGTTCCGAAGATCAAATATAAGAGGGTGAAATTATAGTTGTAGGAAGTTAGAACTTTAAGAATTTATTCGAACTGTCAGCGCATTAAAAACTATTCAGCTACTAAATAACTATGTAATATCATGCAACGTGTCGCAAACACGAGATAAAAGATAAATAATTTATCAAAGTGTCATTGGTTGAGACATCAACAGTTAGGATCGAACTATAATATTTACAACTAAATTATCCAACATTACCGAGCTTGCTATTTTATGGCTCGCTTCTCTCTGGGACATGGAAGTTAAACGAATAGCATGGAGGGAATTAGGAATGGTGCAGCTGATATGTTCAAAATTGTCATTTTATCGAGTGTTAGTTTTTTACTAACTTAAAAACGAGCTTCCTTGATTTCCCTGTTTAAACGTTCCTGTTTAAAAGTTTCTGTTGACATGACGCATGTTCTACAAACTTTACTGTTGTGCATGTTATGTCTGTCGGGATGTTTGTGGTCTTGTTTGATAAAGATCAACTGCGCTGATGCAATCTTGAAACAAATCCTCTCCAGCTTCTCCAAAAAAATCTTCAGAGCTAGTGAGGGGGCTGCAGCGTTTTGTCTGTTCATCCCACCTCCAATGTCTCCCACCTCACGTCGAGATTCTAACTGCTGTCTTACTATGATGAGGTAAGTGAGAGTAACTATGACCAGAAGTAGGGACACTGTGATAAGATAGGAGAGTTTATAGATGAGGTAGGATTGTTGTTCTTTAAAGACGTTGTGAACACACAGACGGGTGTTTCCATAATACCCTATATCTATGACATCGAATATGTTGTCTTTACTGGTGATGATGTTGAGGTCTCTGACTGTTGTGTACAGATCAGTTTTGTTAGAGTAATATGTCTCATGTAGGTGGTTTAACCAAGTCATGTTTACATAGCTAGAGCTAAGAATAACTTCCACTCCAGACTTCCTCCCCAAACCCCCCCCCCCCCTAAATTTTTCTCTCTTTTTACTTGAAATGCATGTTGAACACTACGTCACATGTACACTATCAAGTGTGGGAGAACACGTTGCAGCTTGTAACTTGTTGTGCTACTTGTCGCTAATAAGAAGTACAAGATATCTAAATGTGTACTAGGTTGTGTATAATAATGTGAGACTACAACCAATCTGCAGGTGGTAGCTGGTTATGTGGAGTCCTTTCTAACAATTCCACCTAACTTATTATAAAGTTTTAAAATTTCATGTTTTTAATGTCTAATAACCTGGAATCTTCAATCTTAACTTTTAAATTTTCTTATCGTAAATCGTTGATTTTATCAAGTGACACTAATTGTGTAACTCCTTATGTGTGCATCACGTGACACTAGTTGAAGCGGTTTAGCACACCTGATTAGTGTGGATCTACTTGATTAGTAATTGGGGGTATACATTGTGTGTCACGTGATGTGAATACTGTGCTCTAAACACATAAAACAAACAGTGTAGTGCTATGTTTACACTGTTACTCTCAGTTATCAGCGTTACACTGTTACGCTGATAACTGGTATTACGTAAGATAATTTGATAATTATCGGTAATTACTAATTAATCTGATTCACTTGGAAGAAACTGACATCAACACGGTCTCCCTCCCCATCACGACTTACCAGAAGTCGTAACTTAAACTAAAAAACAGAAAAACCATGATGTACCGCGGAGTTTGGGGTAATAAGGAAATGGCTGCGGTAAATTTAACTGTAATCCCTAAAAGAACATACCGGAAAGTTTCAGTCTGAATAATTGGGCGCCTCACCGTATGAAGCACGTGTTTAAAATGGATAACTAGCCTTTACTGTTAATCAAAGTTTAAACTGTTACAAAATATGTTAAAACGGATACGAAACTAATATGTACACCAAATTTAATACGGTCTGTATTGCGCGATGAAATATATTGTGTTAATGTTTGCGCTCGCTACAATTTCGATCACGAGCGCGACGCGCGCAATCCGTCTTATCTGCATAGTGCTGCTCTTATTGCTTATCTGTGTTCCCGGCCCACTATATTTAATCGCTCGATCGAGCGTGCTAATATAAAGCGTGCTAATATATAATCACTCTACAGTCGATCCTTGAGATTTTCTCACGATCCATGACTCAAAGTGCCTAAGGCATACAAAATTCAAAGACAAGGGTCAGCAATCAACGAGATTTTTTGTGTATGGTAGCTGTAGCTTGCGAGCGAACTATTATATATTTGACACAATCTGCAACCGACCACCCCTTTCGATTGCGCGGCGGCCGGTCGGCCGCAAAAGGGGTTGCCTTTTGCGCGATGCACTACTGCGCCGCGCATCTTCTCTCAACCACTTTTGTAGATCGGCGAGATGCGAAGGATTGACATCGTAAATCAAACACTTCGCGTGCAAGAAAGGTATACAACGTGTGTCGTGTAGCAAGTACTATTAATTGACGATGTCAATTCATCGCAGCTCGGCGAGGTACAGTAGCGCATTTCGCCAATCTTCATCTAGCGTTGCGAGAAGCATAATTGAGTGCGCGGCGCGGCACAGTAATGCATCGCGCTACAACACTCTATCTATTAGAAGTCATGATCTGAAGTGTTACTGGGCCGCGCTCAGCCTGTCATTCCGCCGAATCTCTATTCGGCTATATGTTAATGAACATGATAGCCTGAGGTCCCCAGGTAACTGAAGAGTTGTGATACAACACTCTATAAGAGGTCATGATCTGAAGTGTTGTGATACAACATTCTATAAGAGGTCATGATCTGAAGTGTTGTGATACAACACTCAATTGAAGGTCATGACATCAAGTGTTGTGATACAACACTCTATTAGAGGTCATGATCTGAAGTGTTGTGATACAACACTCTATTAGAGGTCATGATCTGAAGAGTTGTGATACAACACTCTATTAGAGGTCATGATCTGAAGTGTTGTGATACAACACTCTATTAGAGGTCATGATCTGAAGAGTTGTGATACAACACTCAATTAAAGGTCATGACATCAAGTGTTGTGATACAACACTCTATTAGAGGTCATGATCTGAAGTGTTGTGATACAACACTCAATTAAAGGTCATGACATCAAGTGTTGTGATACAACACTCTATTAGAGGTCATGATCTGAAGTGTTGTGATACAACACTCTATTAGAGGTCATGATCTGAAGAGTTGTGATACAACACTCTATTAGAGGTCATGATCTGAAGTGTTGTGATACAACACTCTATTAGAGGTCATGATCTGAAGAGTTGTGATACAACCTCTAACAGTGTTTTGGTAAGAACTTTTCAGACCTCGATCTCTAATGCACTGTTTTGATATTTCTGCTCCTTAAAGTTGTATCCTAAAGGATAATTGAATAGTTGGTAAAACCGACTTCTCTTAAATAAAGCATCCAAACCAAGTTCTGTAGTAAAGCGTAGAACCACGAGTCTGAGTGCTAGCTCTATTATGACTGTCTCCTGACGATCTCCTCCCGGCTGGACACTTGACACCGCCCCATTGGACCCTGGGGCCCACGTGTTCCCTCTCCACTGCCCTATTCGTAGAGAGGGTGCGAGAAACTTATTTAGCGTGTAACTCTAGATGCATTTATAAGGCGCAGAGGAAGGCATATAGCTCATATAGTGCGGACTATTATGATATCAAGTAACACCCTCAAGCCAGATTGACAGACTTTCTCACTGTTTTTGAAGCTGAGTTAGGAGCTAGTTCTGTTTTGAGATTGTGTCATGGTTATGGAACATTTTGTTACACCTTTTCTTGGCATACCCTTTCCAATGCAAGCTTCTTCCGAGGTTAGTTTATCGGTTGTAAATAATAAACATAATATAGTTTTAATTATTATATTGTCATAAATAATTAATTTCGTTATCGCACACAGATAAATTATAGCTGAATTAAGCTAATTTCGATCAAATGTTTTGTTAATAATACGTAATTCTACCTGAAACATGTGCATTAAGTCTAACGGCCCAAACAACATTAACTAATAACCTATATTCCAGCTCCAGACTCCTTCCCACGGCTCAAACAAAGTGTCCTCCTCCAAGAACAGTGACAGTCGCAAGAACTGCAGAAAGAGGAGAAAGTTGAGCGGGATAAAAAGGATCTCAGCTACAACCCGGGAGAGGAGCAGAATAGAACACCTCAACTGCGCTTTTATCACGGTAAGTTATTACTCCGTTCAGCTCGTCACGGTAAGTTAGTACTCCGTTCAGCTCGTCACGGTAAGTTAGTACTCCGTTCAGCTCGTCACGGTAAGTTAGTACTCCGTTCAGCTCGTCACGGTAAGTCAGTACTCCGTTCAGCTCGTCACGGTAAGTTATTACTCCGTTCAGCTCGTCACGGTAAGTTAGTACTCCGTTCAGCTCGTCACGGTATGTTAGTACTCCGTTCAGCTCGTCACGGTAAGTTAGTACTCTGTTCAGCTCGTCACGGTAAGTTAGTACTCCGTTGAGCTCGTCACGGTAAGTTAGTACTCCGTTCAGCTCGTCACGGTAAGTTAGTACTCCGTTCAGCTCGTCACGGTAAGTTAGTACTCCGTTCAGCTCGTCACGGTAAGTTAGTACTCCGTTGAGCTCGTCACGGTAAGTTAGTACTCCGTTCAGCTCGTCACGGTAAGTTAGTACTCCGTTCAGCTCGTCACGGTAAGTTATTACTCCGTTCAGCTCGTCACGGTAAGTTAGTACTCCGTTCAGCTCGTCACGGTAAGTTAGTACTCCGTTCAGCTCGTCACGGTAAGTTAGTACTCCGTTCAGCTCGTCACGGTAAGTTAGTACTCCGTTCAGCTCGTCACGGTAAGTTAGTACTCCGTTCAGCTCGTCACGGTAAGTTAGTACTCCGTTCAGCTCGTCACGGTAAGTTAGTACTCCGTTCAGCTCGTCACGGTAAGTTAGTACTCCGTTCAGCTCGTCACGGTAAGTTAGTACTCCGTTCAGCTCGTCACGGTAAGTTAGTACTCCGTTCAGCTCGTCACGGTAAGTTAGTACTCCGTTCAGCTCGTCACGGTAAGTTAGTACTCCGTTCAGCTCGTCACAGTAAGTTAGTACTCCGTTCAGCTCGTCACGGTAAGTTAGTACTCCGTTCAGATCGTCACGGTAAGTTAGTTTTCGTCAATTTGCGATAACGATTTTATCAATATTGATCTATAATCTGTAGATGTCTCGCTTTATATATAGTTAAAGATAGATGGCTATAATAATAAAACTAATAAATTGTACCAACATTTTCCTGGTTCTAACTAAGTTCTGACCAGTAACCAAGATATAACTGAACAGTGGCGTAACGTTACGCCACCGTAACTGAGCAGTGGCGTAACGTTACTGTAAATAGGAGGCCGAACAAATGAGGTCTGATAAGATTAGCTGGTTAGAAATAAATGTAGATTGTAGATATGTACACACAGACAGACAACAATTACAGTTGCGGAGTCGTATCCCCACACAGCCCTCTGATGTGAAGTTAACAAAGGTTGAGACCCTGCGGCTAGCTATGAGCTACATGATGCACCTGGAGAAGCTTCTGGGGGATATTTCAGAGCAAGAGGGTACAGGCAGCTCCGAGGTCTCATCCACTTCGGAGATCAAGACTTCACGGGTTTGTGATTTTACATTAGTTCACTCTAATTACTTATAAAGTATTAGCTAGAGGTATCAACTAAACGTAACTGGTGCTGATAGTGATGACTGATTCAGTCACTGAAAGCAGTGTGAGGAATGAGTGGCCCTGAATGAGTGCTAACAACTATTCACCTCAGGAGGACGGAGTGGCGTGTCCCCGGGTAGTTAGAGTCTACCCCTCCTACCCTGTACACTCAGAACACTCGTGACACGTGGTGTGACGTCATGACACGTGGTGTGACGTCATGACACGTGGTGCTAACAACTACTCACCTCAGGAGGACGGAGTGGCGTGTCCCCGGGTAGTTAGAGTCTACCCCTCCTACCCTGTACACTCAGAACACTCGTGACACGTGGTGTGACGTCATGACACGTGGTGTGACGTCATGACACGTGGTGCTAACAACTACTCACCTCAGGAGGACGGAGTGGCGTGTCCCCGGGTAGTTAGAGTCTACCCCTCCTACCCTGTCCACTCAGAACACTCGTGACACGTGGTGTGACGTCATGACACGTGGTGCTAACAACTACTCACCTCAGGAGGACGGAGTGGCGTGTCCCCGGGTAGTTAGAGTCTACCCCTCCTACCCTGTCCACTCAGAACACTCGTGACACGTGGTGTGACGTCATGACACGTGGTGTGACGTCATGACACGTGGTGCTAACAACTACTCACCTCAGGAGGACGGAGTGGCGTGTCCCCGGGTAGTTAGAGTCTACCCCTCCTACCCTGTCCACTCAGAACACTCGGGACACGTGGTGTGACGTCATGACACGTGTTGTGACGTCATGACACGTGGTGCTAACAACTACTTACCTCAGGAGGACGGAGTGGCGTGTCCCCGGGTAGTTAGAGTCTACCCCTCCTACCCTGTCCACTCAGAACACTCGGAGTACGGTTCCTGGAACCCTCAGTACGGACTCCCTGTCCGACCTATCCCTACCATGGACTCTCATTTCATCCTCAAAAAGGGAGACAAGAACTAATCCGCTTCACAGCTAATATTTTAGATGTTTTGCTGGTTTAAATCAATTATTAATACAATATATTTATTTATCAAATAGACTTACATATTTACTTGATTTTCATTTCATTATATTATTGTAGTAAATTACCTTACATTTTAAGATTCATCCTCGGTTTAAAAAAAGTTCCTCTGAAGCTATTAGGAAACATAGCAGAGGGAACTATTAGTTCTAATACTTCCTTAGATCCTTCAGTTTATGGGTGTTTCATGTTCATAACTTCATAACGACCATTTATTTGAAGGTTTATATTTATAACCTCCTGACGGACAATGGCATAACGTGGCAGGATTAAGTTTAATGTTATATTTAATTTTATTAAATCGTACGCTATTTACATTGTCCGTTAATTGATCGTTTTACTTTTATAAATTCCATCCCAGTACCAAAATTAATGACTCACGTTCTCTCCTTCTTAAGGGACCGGTAATACATTGTCCCACAATGCAGATCCATCTTCATATATTGTCCCACAATGCAGATCCATCTTCATATATTGTCCCACAATGCAGATCCATCTTCATATATTGTCCCACAATGCAGATCCATCTTCTTATATTGTCCCACAATGCAGATCCATCTTCTTATATTGTCCCACAATGCAGATCCATCTTCTTATATTGTCCCACAATACAGATCCATCTTCATATATTGTCCCACAATGCAGATCCATCTTCATATATTGTCCCACAATGCAGATCCATCTTCTTATATTGTCCCACAATGCAGATCCATCTTCTTATATTGTCCCACAATGCAGATCCATCTTCTTATATTGTCCCACAATGCAGATCCATCTTCTTATATTGTCCCACAATGCAGATCCATCTTCATATATTGTCCCACAATGCAGATCCCTCTTCATATATTGTCCAACAATGCATATCCATCTTCATATATTGTCCCACAATGCATATCCATCTTCATATATTGTCCCACAATGCAGATCCCTCTTCATATATTGTCCCACAATGCATATCCATCTTCATATATTGTCCCACAATGCATATCCATTTCATATATTGTCCCACAATGCAGATCCCTCTTCATATATTGTCCCACAATGCATATCCATCTTCATATATTGTCCCACAATGCAGATCCCTCTTCTTATATTGTCCAACAATGCAGATCCATCTTCAAATATTGTCCCACAATGCAGATCCATCTTCATATATTGTCCCACAATGCATATCCATCTTCTTATATTATCCCACAATGCATATCCATATTCTTATATTGTCCCACAATCCCTCTTCAGCACAGTCTAGACTCTCCATAATCCATTTTTTGAACGTACTAGTTGTTTAGCAAGCACATCCTTATTTCCAATCTTCCTCCAGTTTGACGTCCTCAAGCTCAACTGATACTGTTTTACACTGTTTGAGCATTTCTCTGACAAAAGACTGTTCATCCTCCTCCACCGTTGGAAAATTGTATCGTTTCGAAGCAGTCAGCATTTCAAAAATTACGATCTATATTGTACTTCGTCCACAAAACAAGATCCTAAATATATACCTTAACTTGTAAAATAGATAGAACAGGAGTCAAAGCCCAAATTTTAAAGTATTTGGAATATTCTTATTGATTCTAGTTATGCCTTTTTTGAGTTCGCTCCTTGAGTTCTCTGTCTTGATGATATTTGGAACATTCTACTTACTGGGGTCCCCATCCATGTAACAAGTTTCTAAAGGAACTGTGCCCTGAAACATGACTTGCGAAGATAAGATGAAGTATCGAACGAAAATTTAATCACTGAGTCTCCTTTTCTGTAGTAAATTGTGTAGGGTTACCTTCATTGTTAGTGGTATTTAGATATATTAAGGTGCTAGATGTGATAAGGACTTTGGTTTTGGTCGTTTCATGGGTAAACATGGTATGGGTTTGCGCAACGATATGGGAGAAAACTTGTTAGACTTGTTATCAGAATTTGACCTCTTTGCCTCCAACACTGGTTTTTATCATCCTGCTCGACATACGACCACCTACACTGGCTGGAGGAAGGACTGGAGTGCCGGGCGAAATAGTAAAAAGACGATCCCGGTCTATTCTCAGATCGATTTCATCCTGTGTCGAAGTAGGTCGAAGCCAATGCTACAAGATTCTAGATCTTATGCAGGCACATTGACATACTCTGATCACAGATTTGTTGTCACTAGAGTAGACTTTAAGGACATCTGTCTTTGCTATAAACGCCACTCCAAGTCATCCTTAAAGTTCAACACCTCTGAACTCACCTCGAACCCCACCATTCAGGTGAAATATCGTCAATCCTTAGATGATAACTTAAGTAACACTGTTTCTGCTCTGGATCCAAATTCAGACTTGAATGGCTTACTTGAGTCCATAAAGGATGCTGCAAAATCGTCAATTGGTGTCATCAGACACAGGAAACGTAATCGCAGCGACGATGATGAGGTGAAAAACTTATCTAGCCAGCGTTACTTGTTGAGACAGCAGCTTAATGATAACCAGTCTTTAGACAGAACCTCACTTAGATCATCTATTAACTGCCTCACCAATCAGATCAAGCAGAGACTTTCTTACATACGATCAGCTGCTGCTGATGCTATCTGTAATACCATCAGTTCAACAACAGATAGTAAGAAAATGTTTGAAGCTGTTCGAACCCTGAACTTACCTAAAAGTAAAGCCCCTTCTAGTATTGGTGTTCATGATGAGCAAGGGTGCAATATTGCAACAGACACTGGTAAAGCTGCCGTAGTTGCTAAGTACCTTGAGCAACAACTTACTCGTGATGAAGCACCTTTAGAACCTTTTGTAGGACCTCCTCGCCCACTAGTTAAGCCATTCACTAGTGAAGAAATCGGATCAGCTGCTAGAAGTCTCAAAAATGGTCGAGCTAACGGCCCAGATGGGATTCCTAATGAGCTTCTCAAGTATTCTACTGGATCAGTACACAGACGTTTTGCAGACATTATCAATAGAAGCTTCGAGACCAATTCCTACCTTGACCCCATTGGACAGGCAAAGATTACCCCCTTACAGAAGCCAAATAAGCCCATTGGTCCAGTGAAGAATCTACGACCCCTCACTCTCTCAAATGCTGTTAGAAAGATTCTTTCAATGGCAACCTTGAAGAGAATTGAGAATAAAGTCAATGCCTTCACTGGTCCATGGCAATGTGCTTACAAGCAGGGTAGATCATGTGCTGACATTGTATGGTGCCAGCGTGTGATGTTATCAGTTGTCCAGAGGAAGAGGTGGGAATACCATCGTATGGGGATCGACATGTCTAGTGCCTTTGACACTATACGACGATCTACCATCCTCGATCTTCTTGTTGAGTGTGGCTGTGATGATGACGAAGTCCGTTTGGTAAGACTTTTGCTTTCCAACACCAAGCTCAAAGTCAACATCAACGGTACACTGTCTGCTGAATTCCAGAGTTTTCTCGGTGCATTCCAAGGTGACTGTCTGTCTGGATGCTTGTTCACACTTGTCTTAGCGGGTGCTTTGCGTGACCTCCGTAACAGGCTTGAAACTGCAACGAATAGGCCTAACCCACCTATCACCGATATTGGTCTTCCACTTGACAGTGAGTATGCTGATGATATCGACTTCAATGATGAAGATGAAGACAATTTGAGGGAGCTGTTGCCTATTGCAACAGAAGTCCTTAAAGATTGGAATCTCTTCGTTAACGAAGACAAAACTGATTTCACTCATGTGTACTTAGCTGAAAAGGGAGCTAAAGACGATCAGGGTAAGCCAATTGCAGGGAACGAGCTCTGGAGAAAGAGTATCACGCTTGGCTCCATGCTTTGTAGCAAGGAGGACATCTCTAGAAGGATATGTCTGGGATATGCCGCGTTTAACAAATACAAGAAAGCTTGGAACCATAAGATCCCTCTGAGCAAGAGGCTTCTGTTGTATGAGGCTCTGGTAGTATCCGTTTTAATGTACAATTCATCTTGCTGGGCTGCCCCTAAATCAGTATTGGAAAAACTAGATATTGCTCACAGACGTCATCTGCGATCAATTTTGAATTACAAATACCCTCACATCATCTCCAACAAGAACTTGTATAAACGCTGCAATAGCGAACCATTGTCAGCTAAAGTGGCTCGTAGTCGGTGGAGGATGCTCGGACATGTACTGCGTGGGCCTACAGATGGCCCAGCCTATTCGTCGCTTGTTTTTGCTGTCAACACCTTACAGCTTCAAGGGCGGCGTGGAAGACCGCAGTCAAACCTTTTCTCACTGATTCTACACGACCTTAGTGTCCGAAAATTATCGTTAAATAATTTATGTGATTTGAACTATTTAACGTTAATTGCTCAGAATAGAGTTAAATGGAGAAGTATGCAGATTGCATGACTTTTGTTTGAGAAAGATTAGGGGACAGAAATGTTTACTTTGTTTACTATCTGTTTCTTAGAGCTTTTGTTTATATATATATAGATGTGATATAATTATAAACCCCTCCGGGATAGAATAAGATTCTGATAATCCCGGCTCCCGCTAAATAGATTCTGATAATCCCGGCTCCCGCTGTTAGTTTTTTCCCGCTGAATAAATAACCCCGGCACAGCTTTTATAATCCCGCCCCGCTAATTTGGCTCAACAAGATTTGTTTTGTTTTGACATTCCATGAGAATTTCAACCGCGTACTGTCACGTGTTTTGATGACGTGTATCACGTGACTAACTACTACGACGCGCATTGGTAAAAAATGTCACGTGACCTATGGCTTAACGTAAGAACTATAAATACACTCGATCTACGTATCGGTCTAATTGCAGGCGCTGGCAAAACTCCAGCACACTGCTTACATTACTTAAACTCTTACATTAATTGGACCAGTTCCAAAACTTGTCTCGACGGTTACATTTGATTTTGTCCGGTTCGGTTAATTTTGTCGTGTTTGATATAAGCCATGTATCATAGTCGTCTACTTTGATAAACTTCATGACACGATATCATTATTAGCTTTTATCGCTTGCCAGGCTTAACTCGACGCCCCTTATCGATATTCATATTCATTCAACGTTCTGACTGAGGAATAATGTTTAGATATAACGCCAATTTCAAAAGTCATAGTACCTTAGTTGTATTTATTTGGTAGTCCCCAATTCCATTTCATATTTTCCATAATGATCTCATATAGCTATATTTAAGAGTAAAATGTCAAATTTGTTGGTCCTAGCACTAACCCGGAGGGGTTTATAACACATAACACCGGCACGCTTAAGTTATATTAAAATAACCCCTCGTGCTAAAGCACGTCGGGGTTATTTTCATAATAATCCCTCGTGCTTCGCACTCGAAATTATTATAAACTTTTCCCGCGCGTCGCGGGAAAAATTGAAATATAATCCCTGCGCATGCCGGGGTTATGTGTGTTGTCAATAGTCAGACTGAGACTCTGTATTTAAGAGATTTTGCCGATGTTCTCACTGGTTTCTTCCCGCAAAAGTTCGGCAAAACTTTTGTAGGAACTGACCAAACTGGAACCAGTCCAGCTTTAACGCGAACTTAATTGAAATTGTTTGTCCTTTCCAAACCCAGTTCCGTAGTAAAGCGTAGAACCACGAGTCTGAGTGCTAGCTCTATTATGACTGTCTCCTGACGATCTCCTCCCGGCTGGACACTTGACACCGCCCCATTGGACCCTGGAGCCCACGTGTTCCCTCTCCACTGCCCTATTCGTAGAGAGGGTGCGAGAAACTTATTTAGCGTGTAACTCTAGATGCATTTATAAGGCGCAGAGGAAGGCATATAGCTCATATAGAGCGGACTATTATGATATCAAGTAACACCCTCAAGCCAGATTGACAGACTTTCTCACTATTTTTGAGCTGAGTTAGGAGCTAGTTCTATTTTGTGATTGTGTCATGGTTATGGAACATTTTGTTACACCTTTTCTTGGCATACCCTTTCCAATGCAAGCTTCTTCCGAGGTTAGTTTATCGGTTGTAAATTATAAACATAATATAGTTTTAATTATTATATTGTCATAAATAATTAATTTCGTTTTATCACACACAGATCAATTATATGTATATTCTTAATTCCCCCTTGCAGTGCCCCTCCCCCCCCCCCCCCATTTGCGGCCTAAACTACGATAACTTCCACTCCATACTCCCCCTCCTAAACTACAATAACTAACACTCCAGACTTCCTCCCCGCCCCCTCAAACTACAATAACTTCCACTCCAGACTCCCCCCCTCCTAAACTACAATAACTTCCACTCCAGACTTCCTCCCCAAACCCCCCCCCCCCCCTAAACTACAATAACTACCACTCCAGACTTCCTCCCCCCCCCCCTCAAACTACGATAACTTCCACTCCAGACTTCCTCCCCCTCCTCCTAAACTACAATAACTACCACTCCAGACTTTCTCCCCCCCCCCTTCCCTAAACTACAATAACTTCCACTCCAGACTTCCTCCTCCCCCCCCTCAAACTACAATAACTTCCACTCCAGACTTTCTCCCCCCTCCTAAACTACAATAACTTCCACTCCAGACTCCCCCCCTCCTAAACTACAATAACTTCCACTCCAGACTTCCTCCCCAAACCCCCCCCCCTAAACTACAATAACTACCACTCCAGACTTCCCCCCCCCCCCCCCCCCTCAAACTACGATAACTTCCACTCCAGACTTCCTCCCCCTCCTCCTAAACTACAATAACTACCACTCCAGACTTTCTCCCCCCCCCCCCCCTCAAACTACAATAACTACCACTCCAGACTTCCTCCCCCCCCTCAAACTACAATAACTTCCACTCCAGACTTCCTCCCCCTCCTCCTAAACTACAATAACTACCACTCCAGACTTTCTCCACCCCTTCCCTAAACTACAATAACTTCCACTCCAGACTTCCTCCTCCCCCCCCCTCAAACTACAATAACTACCACTCCAGACTTTGTCCCCCCCCCTTCCCTAAACTACAATAACTTCCACTCCAGACTTCCTCCTCCCCCCCCCCCCCCTCAAACTACAATAACTTCCACTCCAGACTTCTTCTCCCCATGGCTCAAGCAAGGTGTCCTCCTCTTCTAAGCACAGCAGTCGGAAAAATTGCAGAAAGAGGAGAAAGTTAAGCGGAATGAAGAGAATCGCTGCTACCACGCGAGAGAGGAGCAGAATTGAACACCTCAACCTAGCGTTCATCACGGTAACCTAGCAACATCACGTGTTACCTAGCGTTTATCACGGTAACCTAGCAACATCACGTGTAACCTAGCAACATCACGTGTAACCTAGCGTTCATCACGGTAACCTAACAACATCACGTGTAACCTAGCAACATATCACGTGTTACCTAGCGTTCATCACGGTAAACTAGCCCTTCATTCAGGTTTAGATATTAGACTTCTACTTTAGACTTCTAGTTGGGCCTTAGTATTATAGCTCGTGAAATTATGGTTAAAGATTGGGCCAATATCTCGTGAACGATCGTTTAGTTGTTCTCGAGTGATAAGAGGCACAATGCCTTGTAAAAATTATTATTTGTTTCCAATTATCAAATAAAGGAAGTTATCCTTCAAGGTTTGCACTTAAAGGGTGAGTAAAGTAAAATTTAACAGCTGTTTTTATATACCTTATCGGCCTTAATTTGGCTGGCGCTAATTTGTTCGACCTTCAACCGGACCTTCAAAAAAACTTTTGCAGTATTATGGATTAGTCAGCTTATTTGTAATTACTTGCTGTATCCGTATAAATACAAATTTTAAATAGCTGAAATTTGTAAAGTCAAAACATTTCCGGCTCAAATTTGGCTGGCCAAGAAGTCCAAAGTAGCTGAATTTCGCCAAATGAGTGCCGATTAGATTATCTGTGAATATGTCCACATCGACAGACAACAATTACAGTTGCGGAGTCGTATCCCCACACAGCCCTCTGATGTCAAGTTGACAAAGGTTGAGACCCTGCGGCTAGCTATGAGCTACATAAGTCATCTGGAGAAACTGGTGGGGGAAATTTCAGAGCAAGAGAAAGGGAGTATTGGGAGTTCAGAAGTTTCATCTACTTCAGAGATGAAGACCTCACGGGTTGGTGATTTCAACATTGGAGATTTACCCTAGAGATTAGCCCTGGAGACTAACCCTAGAGATTAACCCTGGAAATTAACTCTGTAGATTAACCCTGGAAATTTTCCATAAATATTAGGGAAGACCTCACGGGTTAATGATTTCAACACTGGAGATTTTCCCTGAAGATTAACCCTGGATATTAACCCTGGAGATTAACCCTGGAGACTAACCCTGGAGATTAACCCTGGACACTAACCCTGGAGATTAACCCGGGAGATTAACCCTGGAGATTAACCCTGGAGATTAACCCTGGAGACTAACCCTGGATATTAACCCTGGAGACTAACCCTGAGACTAACCCTGGAGATTTTCCCTGAAAATTAACCCTGGAGATTAACCCTGGAGACTAACCCTGGAGATTAACCCTGGAGATTAGCCCTGGAGATTAACCCTGGAGATTAACCCTGGAGATTAACCCTGAGACTAACCCTGGAGATTAACCCTGGAGATTAGCCCTGGAGATTAACCCTGGAGATTAACCCTGGAGACTAACCCTGAGACTAACCCTGGTGATTGATCCTGGAGATTAACCCTGGAGACTAACCCTGGAGATTAACCCTGGAGATTAGCCCTGGAGATTAACCCTGGAGATTAACCCTGGAGATTAACCCTGGAGATTAACCCTGGAGATTAACCCTGGAGACTAACCCTGAGACTAACCCTGGAGATTAACCCTGGTGATTAACCCTGGAGATTAACCCTGGAGAAGACTAACCCTGGAGATTAACCCTGGAGATTAACCCTGGAGACTAACCCTGGAGACTAACCCTGGAGATTAACCCTGGAGATTAACCCTGGAGATTAGCCCTGGAGACTAACCCTGGAGACTAACCCTGGAGATTAACCCTGGAGATTAACCCTGGAGATTAGCCCTGGAGATTAACCTTGGAGATTAGCCCTGGAGACTCACCCTGGAGACTAACCCTGGAGATTTACCCTGGAGATTAACCCTGGAGACTAACCCTGGAGACTAACCCTGGAGATTAACCCTGGAGATTAACCCTGGAGACTAACCCTGGAGATTAACCCTGGAGATTAACCCTGGAGACTTACCCTGGAGATTAACCCTAGAGATTAGCCCTGGAGATTAACCTTGGAGATTAGCCCTGGAGACTCACCCTGGAGACTAACCCTGGAGATTAGCCCTGGAGACTAACCCTGGAGACTAACCCTGGAGATTAACCCTGGAGATTAACCCTGGAGATTAGCCCTGGAGATTAACCTTGGAGATTAGCCCTGGAGACTCACCCTGGAGACTAACCCTGGAGATTTACCCTGGAGATTAACCCTGGAGACTAACCCTGGAGACTAACCCTGGAGATTAACCCTGGAGATTAACCCTGGAGACTAACCCTGGAGATTAACCCTGGAGATTAACCCTGGAGACTTACCCTGGAGATTAACCCTAGAGATTAACCCTGGAGATTAGCCCTGGAGACTAACCCTGGAGACTAACCCTGGAGATTAACCCTGAGACTGACCCTGGAGATTAACCCTGGAGATTAACCCTGAGACTAACCCTGGAGATTAACCCTGGAGACTAACCCTGGAGATTAACCCTGGAGATTAACCCTGAGACTAACCCTAGAGATTAACCCTGGAGATTAACCCTGAAGATTAACCCTGGAGATTAACCCTGGAGATTAACCCTGGAGATTAACCCTGGAGACTAACCCTGGAGATTGACCCTGAAGATAAACCCTGGAGACTAACCCTGGAGATTAACCCTAGAGATTAACCCTGGAGATTAGCCCTGGAGACTAACCCTGGAGACTAACCCTGGAGTTTAACCCTGAGACTGACCCTGAAGATTAACCCTGGAGACTAACCCTGGAGATTAGCCCTGGAGACTAACCCTGGAGACTAACCCTGGAGATTAACCCTGGAGATTAATCCTGGAGATTAACTCTGGAGATTAACCCTGGAGATTAAGCAATGGATTATATCACCTCTACTTGATTAACTGTCAATGAGCATTTTAACTGATAAATTATTGCTTGAAACATACATTAGAAAATTTAAACGTAACTGGTGCTGATAGTGATGACTGAAAGCAGTGTGAGGAATGAGTGGCCCTGAATGAGTGCTAACAACTACTCACCTCAGGAGGACGGAGTGGCGTGTCCCCGGGTAGTTAGAGTCTACCCCTCCTACCCTGTCCACTCAGAACACTCGTGACACGTGGTGTGACGTCATGACACGTGGTGTGACGTCATGACACGTGGTGCTAACAACTACTCACCTCAGGAGGACGGAGTGGCGTGTCCCCGGGTAGTTAGAGTCTACCCCTCCTACCCTGTACACTCAGAACACTCGTGACACGTGGTGTGACGTCATGACACGTGGTGTGACGTCATGACACGTGGTGTGACGTCATGACACGTGGTGCTAACAACTACTCACCTCAGGAGGACGGAGTGGCGTGTCCCCGGGTAGTTAGAGTCTACCCCTCCTACCCTGTCCACTCAGAACACTCGTGACACGTGGTGTGACGTCATGACACGTGGTGCTAACAACTACTCACCTCAGGAGGACGGAGTGGCGTGTCCCCGGGTAGTTAGAGTCTACCCCTCCTACCCTGTCCACTCAGAACACTCGTGACACGTGGTGTGACGTCATGACACGTGGTGCTAACAACTACTCACCTCAGGAGGACGGAGTGGCGTGTCCCCGGGTAGTTATAGTCTACCCCTCCTACCCTGTCCACTCAGAACACTCGTGACACGTGGTGTGACGTCATGACACGTGGTGCTAACAACTACTCACCTCAGGAGGACGGAGTGGCGTGTCCCCGGGTAGTTAGAGTCTACCCCTCCTACCCTGTCCACTCAGAACACTCGTGACACGTGGTGTGACGTCATGACACGTGGTGCTAACAACTACTCACCTCAGGAGGACGGAGTGGCGTGTCCCCGGGTAGTTAGAGTCTACCCCTCCTACCCTGTCCACTCAGAACACTCGGGACACGTGGTGTGACGTCATGACACGTGGTGCTAACAACTACTCACCTCAGGAGGACGGAGTGGCGTGTCCCCGGGTAGTTAGAGTCTACCCCTCCTACCCTGTCCACTCAGAACACTCGTGACACGTGGTGTGACGTCATGACACGTGGTGTGACGTCATGACACGTGGTGCTAACAACTACTCACCTCAGGAGGACGGAGTGGCGTGTCCCCGGGTAGTTAGAGTCTACCCCTCCTACCCTGTCCACTCAGAACACTCGTGACACGTGGTGTGACGTCATGACACGTGGTGCTAACAACTACTCACCTCAGGAGGACGGAGTGGCGTGTCCCCGGGTAGTTAGAGTCTACCCCTCCTACCCTGTCCACTCAGAACACTCGGGACACGTGGTGTGACGTCATGACACGTGGTGTGACGTCATGACACGTGGTGCTAACAACTACTCACCTCAGGAGGACGGAGTGGCGTGTCCCCGGGTAGTTAGAGTCTACCCCTCCTACCCTGTCCACTCAGAACACTCGTGACACGTGGTGTGACGTCATGACACGTGGTGTGACGTCATGACACGTGGTGCTAACAACTACTCACCCCAGGAGGACGGAGTGGCGTGTCCCCGGGTAGTTAGAGTCTACCCCTCCTACCCTGTCCACTCAGAACACTCGTGACACGTGGTGTGACGTCATGACACGTGGTGCTAACAACTACTCACCCCAGGAGGACGGAGTGGCGTGTCCCCGGGTAGTTAGAGTCTACCCCTCCTACCCTGTCCACTCAGAACACTCGTGACACGTGGTGTGACGTCATGACACGTGGTGCTAACAACTACTCACCTCAGGAGGACGGAGTGGCGTGTCCCCGGGTAGTTAGAGTCTACCCCTCCTACCCTGTCCACTCAGAACACTCGTGACACGTGGTGTGACGTCATGACACGTGGTGTGACGTCATGACACGTGGTGCTAACAACTACTCACCTCAGGAGGACGGAGTGGCGTGTCCCCGGGTAGTTAGAGTCTACCCCTCCTACCCTGTCCACTCAGAACACTCGTGACACGTGGTGTGACGTCATGACACGTGGTGCTAACAACTACTCACCTCAGGAGGACGGAGTGGCGTGTCCCCGGGTAGTTAGAGTCTACCCCTCCTACCCTGTCCACTCAGAACACTCGTGACACGTGGTGTGACGTCATGACACGTGGTGCTAACAACTACTCACCTCAGGAGGACGGAGTGGCGTGTCCCCGGGTAGTTATAGTCTACCCCTCCTACCCTGTCCACTCAGAACACTCGGGACACGTGGTGTGACGTCATGACACGTGGTGTGACGTCATGACACGTGGTGCTAACAACTACTCACCTCAGGAGGACGGAGTGGCGTGTCCCCGGGTAGTTAGAGTCTACCCCTCCTACCCTGTCCACTCAGAACACTCGGAGTACGGTTCCTGGAACCCTCAGTACGGACTCCCTGTCCGACCTATCCCTACCATGGACTCTCATTTCATCCTCAAAAAGGGAGACAAGAACTAATCCGCTTGACAGCTAATATTTTAGATGAATTAAACGGGTGTAATCATTCATTTATTCGTTATCCATTCTGATGAATTTTATTTTTGAATTGATTTTTAAAAATCCATTTTTGTTGTTCAAAATTCACTTAAATTAACTATTTTATTTGAAAGCTTAAGCATTAGGTGATGGAGTTTTAAGTTTGTTTTAAATATTTGCGATGGCAAACCAATGTGATGAATTATTTCTAAATGTATTTTATTTAGGGGTAATTTTTAGTTGTTTTAGCGAAAAATTGTATGATTGAGCTTAAAATTGATCCGATTTAGTTATCGAATTTCTAAAATTCCAATTTTGGTAGACTTACCACATCCCATTGTTAATTTCTTAGTGTAGACCTCTCTAATACGTCGCGCTTTGTCTACATTAAAGTGATTCAAGCTCACCAGGTAGAGGATCCATGGTGCTCTCTGATTATTCATCTCCCTCTCTCCCCTCTCTCCCCTCTCTCCTGTACACCAGTACACTGCTCTTTTGTACACTAGACTTTTAACGGCCCTTAATTGTTGGAACTTAGCTCTCTCCCGTAGCTTATAACACTGAGATAGCGTTAGAAAGAGAGCAAGGTCTAACACTGCAGCCCATTAGGATCAGGGCTAATCCTCGCTTAGTTTTTATTGTAGACGTTTAGGGGCTCCTGCCTTGCCGTGCCCTGCCTAGTACACAGTTCTAGTACACAGTTCTAGTACACAGTTCTAGTACACAGTTCTAGTACACAGTTCTAGTACACAGTTCTAGTACACAGTTCTAGTACACAGTTCTAGTACACAGTTCTAGTGCACAGTTCTAGTACACAGTTCTAGTACACAGTTCTAGTACACAGTTCTAGTACACAGTTCTAGTACACAGTTCTAGTACACAGTTCTAGTACACAGTTCTAGTACACAGTTCTAGTACACAGTTCTAGTACACAGTTCTAGTACACAGTTCTAGTACACAGTTCTAGTGCACAGTTCTAGTGCACAGTTCTAGTAGTAGTACACAGTTCTAGTACACAGTTCTAGTACACAGTTCTAGTACACAGTTTTAGTACACAGTTCCAGTACACAGTTCTAGTACACAGTTCTAGTACACAGTTCTAGTACACAGTTTTAGTACACAGTTCCAGTACACAGTTCTAGTACACAGTTCTAGTACACAGTTCTAGTACACAGTTCTAGTACACAGTTCTAGTACACAGTTCTAGTACACAGTTCTAGTACACAGTTCTAGTACACAGTTCTAGTACACAGTTCTAGTACACAGTTCTAGTACACAGTTCTAGTACACAGTTCTAGTGCACAGTTCTAGTACACAGTTCTAGTACACAGTTCTAGTACACAGTTCTAGTACACAGTTCTAGTACACAGTTCTAGTACAAAGTTTTAGTACAGCTCTAGTAATAATAGTTCTAGTATTCTTTTATTGGTACAATTAAAGCTGCAATGTGATCGTTAACTTTAATTTGCAGGGGGTTTTGAAATTCAGATTGTTCAGATATTTTCGTTCTGATAAGATGTTGACTGAATATGAAGTTTGAAGATTTCAGAATGTTTAAAGCTATCAGATGTCAGTAAACTCTATTGAGCCGCTAATCAGATCAGCCAGACATGAAGAGGACATGTGAGTGAATTTATATTTTTAGTGACCTCATTAATTGGTGACCTCATTAATCGGTCATTCATTAAAAATCCAGTCAAAACAGTGAAATTTGGGTCACGGAAAGCTGAAATATGAAAATGTCCCACCGGTAGGAAATTTCCATAATTTTCCTTTCCCGAGAAAATCTTACCGGCTGGCGGGCTTGCTAGAGGTGCTTTTTTACAACAAGTTTGAGCTTGCGCGCGACATTATGATTATTAGTACACTGATTGTACGCTTGACGCATTCCAATGTGCAAGCTGCACGTGACACAATTCAGCCAATCAGAGGACAGGAATCATATCCGCAAAAATAAAGTTGCGAACTTTCATTCGGCCCAAAATAAAACTTTTTGGGATAACATTGTCTCAATGCTCAAATTATTTTACGGGGGAAAAGTTTTTTTTTTCGCCAGCTCTCCAATATCCACCTTGAAGCTGCATTTTCTATCCTCGAACTACACAATATAATCTAAAGCATGTTTTAGTGTAGACTTTTTGTTACAACAAGACTGTATCCTATACTTATAGTAACAACTATAAACACTAATGTCTGCTAACAATTTTTCTTCTAGTCCTAATGTGAGCCTGAACTGAACATGCGTGCAAACAGAGTTTTAAATACTGTACAGACATGGGTTAAAAACAACGGTCTTAAACTTAATGTAGGAAAAACTAAATACATGATATTCACTAACAGATTACCAGAGGATATAAATATTAGTATAGAAGGACAGCGACTAGTGAAAAGTGAACATGAACGATTTTTAGGTGTCATTATTGACTCAAAACTTAGCTGGAGCCAGCACATTAAACAGTTAAAGACTAAAATATCCAGAAATGCAGGCGTAATGATGAAACTTAAAAGTTCCATTCCGAATAAAGCTCAAAAAATGCTATACAATAGTTTAATTCAATCTCACCTGTATTACTGCGCTACTGTTTGGGGTACTAAATCTTTAAATTCCATTCAGTCTTTATTCTCTGCTCAAAAGAAAGCTATTCGCGCCACTGATTCAGAATATCATAACTATTTTTACGACAAAGAAAAACGTAAACTACCATCTCACACAAAATCCATCTTCAACAAAATAGGAATTTTAGCTCTTCCTAATCTCATTGCTAAAAGCTGTCTAACTTTGATGCACAAGGTTTATATGGTAGTAGCACCATCGAGTATCTGTAGTATATTTGAAAAATCACCGCTTAGACAAACGGAAAGGAGAAATCCAAAGTATTTTGAAATTAAGTTCAACAGATTACGGATCACCGATTATAGCATCTCTAACGTAGGACCACGATTATATAACAACACGATAAACGAAATAAATAAAATCCTTCCCTTCAACGTACCTAAGTTACAAGATAAGTTTATTAATTCATACAAGGACAACATTGTACGTTACTTACAGGACAAACAAAAACTTGACCTAGAAAACCTTTCGTGGACGGACAAGAACTTTGTCCTTTACAACTTTTAAACAAAATATTAGCAAAATATAACAGCTGTAAGAATCCTAAACGTTAGTGCAGTCAAATAAATGAACTGCGATAATGCATTTGACAGTCAGTCACTGCAATTTATTCTGCAACTTATTTTTCAATTTTCACTGCCACACTTAGGCTTATCTTGCCTACACATTTTTTTAAAACGAAATTCCTTGCGCACCGCGTACTAAAATTACTTGGATTTCTACCGCTTTGATAAATGACTACAAGAAGATGGGGAGTTAATATTGTTGATTTATATAATATAGATTATTTATTCTTTAGTGTAGATTAACTTTATTTTTATATATTTTACCAAGTGTGAAGGATCAACCATACGTTATTGATATTTTTGAAATATTTAACGATAAATTGATATAATAATAAATGATTGTAATATTTTTATTGAGGCACATGCCACCCCATCGCGGGTTTACTACTACTACTACTACTACTAAGCCTTGTCTCTAAAAACTTAACTGAACTAGCGTTTCGGTGTGCGCAAAAGCTTCCAGGCACGCGCATTCCTTGCCCCGTTAGTTACCTATTCTTCCAAAACCAAACTAGCAGTCAAGGACAAAAAGTCATACACCAAATGGGCATTATATTTTATAAATTGTTTTACATCTTTTTATTTTGTAAAATGTGCCAAAAATTAAATTTCTTGTTTCATTAAAAATTAAAAAAACTATTCAGTATTCAGTATTCAGCCTATTTAATTAATCAGGTAAGGTTATGTAAACTGTAAAGTGTAAAGCTCCAACGTCAAACTCCGTTACTCCATGTTTAAGGGGAGATACACCAAAAACGTTTTTGCTCCGAACATCGATTTTATTTTATATTATGGTTAAATAGACAAAAAGAATAAAATTGCACACCTTCAAAATTTTCTAAAAATATTCCCTCATCGAGAAAAAAAATATTTTTCTTTTTCGAAAATTTTTAAAATTTGGAGAAGTCTGTCACTGTAATACCGATAGTTCGGCCATTTTAAAAGTTTTTTAGCTGATTTTTTTACTGAACATTACTTACACTCCGTACAAGACAACCCTTTAAAAAATTATATAATTGAACAATAAATGACCAAGTTACAGACCGAACAAGGTGAAAAAAGAAAAATTGGGATTTTTGCCTACCACCAAGGTTGTACATTTTACCACTCGCCCAGGTCATCAGATATCGCTTCAAAAATTCTTGTGAGTGTAGCTGATGATCATATCAAACTTTTTGGAACAGAATTTCTCTCAGTTTTGAGTTTTAAGGTATGTAATGTGGCCTTAAACGACTTAGTAAAATTCATTGTAAAAATGGGCCAAACATGGCAGAATTAAGGCTTAAAATGACTATAACTAAAAAAGTGTCAGTTTTTTTGAAATAATTTTTACAGAATCGTAATCAGCTTGAGAAGACGAATCTTTTAATACCAAATAGGTGATTTTAGAAGACAAATTGTCTTAAATAATTTTCCAGCTCGAACACAAGGGTCCCCCCTTGTATAAATTTTGTACAAATTGTACACATTCTTTACAAATTTTGTGTCTTTAACTATTATCAATTTGGTACTAAAAGATTTGTCTTACCAAGCTGATTACGATCATGTAAAAATTATTTCAAAAAAAATGACACTTTTTTAGTTATAGTCATTTTAAGCCTTAAATCTGCCATGTCTGGCCCTTTTTTACGATGAATTTTACTAAGTCGTTTAGGCCACATTTCATACCTTAAAACTCAAAACTGAGAGAAATTCTGTTCCAAAAAGTTTGATATGATCATCAGCTACACTCACAAGAATTTTTGAAGCGATATCTGATGACCTGGGCGAGTGGTAAAATGTACAACCTTGGTGGTAGGCAAAAATCCTAATTTTTCTTTTTTCACCTTGTTCGGTCTGTAACTTGGTCATTTATTGTTCAATTATATAATTTTTTAAAGGGTTGTCTTGTACGGAGTGTAAGTAATGTTCAGTAAAAAAATCAGCTAAAAAACTTTTAAAATGGCCGAACTATCGGTATTACAGTGACAGACTTCTCCAAATTTTAAAAATTTTCGAAAAAGAAAAATATTTTTTTTCTCGATGAGGGAATATTTTTAGAAAATTTTGAAGGTGTGCAATTTTATTCTTTTTGTCTATTTAACCATAATATAAAATAAAATCGATGTTCGGAGCAAAAACGTTTTTGGTGTATCTCCCCTTAATTAAATTAGTTTAACTTTAAGTAACCAATGCCAGATCACAAATATGAGTTCTGTGTCAGTTTTGACTTCTATAAACATATTTCAGTTTGTACTTGAAGGTTTTTTTAAAAATGTTTCATTCTAACGGAGTAACGGAGAAATATTGGAAAAATCCCAGTACCGGTCCCGGTACCGGCCGGATTGACTATGAATATGACTCTGATCCCGTACCGACCGGCTTTTCATTTTCATTTTCAATACAGGCTAAGCGCCGCTCAGTAAAATAGCTGAGGTCCCCAGGGTGTCCTCCACGAAAGTTATATCGTAAGTTATATCGTGTACTCTAAGATCGATCGTAACTTTACGATCGCGCCTAAAAAGTGTCCACGAAACATTTTGTAATCTGAGATCATGTAAATCAATTTAATTAGCCTCCGGAATCTTGTCCACGAAACTCAGTTCAAGGTTGATCGTAGAGCAAATTGTTTTATCACGTGACGCGGTACATTGACCAATAGGAGATTCGCAACACAAGTTAATTCACGCAGTCGGAACGCGCAGCTCTTGTATAACGCCATTTTAATCATAAATTGAACTCGTTTTGCGTTGTGTTAATAGAATTGATGGCGGTCTTTATTTCTTGTTCTTACTTTATTTCAAGTGTATCTAATGTAATTCTATCAAGTTTATTGATGTGTTATAAAATGTAATTTAAATCGTTTTAAATCATTCATCAAGAGCTAGAGACAAAAATAAACAAGTATCTTACAACAATATAAAATAATATGATAAATTCCATGCGTACCATGTAACTTAACTGTAATATTAAAGATTATATATACCATAATAGGCCAGGTAAAATATATTATGCAAATAACAGGTGCACGATAAAATTGAACTTGCTCGGACATTCAAAATTTATGTACCATTGTTTTGTTGAGAATGCAAGATTATTCGCTATATAGTACGATTACCGATTGGAAATGCTCCAACGTTTTTCTCAAAGTTTCCTTTTAAGTGTCTGAAGGTTCGGTAAAGGATGATGATTAATCACTCTACACTCGACTGTCACGTGAATTTTTCAACCCGTTCTCTAGCTGGTTCTAAACGACTTTTCGAAACCCTAACCGTCTAATCTGATCCCAACCCTAACCCTAACCCAATCCTTAACAAAAACATATGATGGAACCCTAACCCTAACGAGAAATTAGACTAACTTCCTTATACGGTCATATCACGTGATCGAGACAGTTTTTCGCCAATATCTCGTCAGGGAAGCATTTTAACCCTATGTCATGGGGGGGGGGGGGGGTGATTCGGAATCAGCGTCCGAAAATACATCCATTGAAGTTGATTACAACCGTCGGGGGCCCTTTTAGAACAATCTCGAAGATCGACTGTAGAGTGATTTAGCACGCTCGTTCGGTAAACATTTTGTGAAATGAGTAACGCATCACGCTACAAAATATGTAGGCTCTTAGTCTTACTAAATCGCTCGCCCAAAAATTTCACGTGACTTTGATTTTATAGTTTTGCAGCCGTACAAAACGGTTTTACATATAAACCCTAATCTGTAATCCCATGAACCCTAACCCTAACCATAACCCCGAAGCTATCCATAACCCTTACCACAACCCTAACCCTAACCCTAACCCGAGCCCTAAACAATCGAATTAATGTTTTATTAGCCTGTCACGTGACCAAAATGGTTTTTTGCCCATAACTCTCCAGGAAAGCATTTTAACCCAACGTGAATCCGTGATGGGGGTGCAATTCGGAATCAGCGTCCAAAAATACACCAATTTAGATCAACTTCATACCAAAGGGCATTTTAACAAGAATTTTCTTAAAATTTGGGCGAGCGATTTAGTGGGAGCGACAAATGTACCACGTAATTCTATTCACTATTTTACTGGCAGAAATTAGCGCTAAAAACCATCTTACAGTCAGTATACGCGGCTCATTTTCGATGACGCACTGCCACTGCCTAGGCCATATGCAGTATTACTGGTGTTCGAATCCCAGTTGGACAAAGATCTCAAACCTGAAGGGCAGCCGTCACTTACCAAACCATGGTGTGAATGTTACTGGTACATGGTCAATGGTAGTGGCTATCATTAGAGATGCGAAAATAACACGTGTGCATATGTCTGGGGTTGCTGCAGGGAAATCTGTACTGAAAGGACCGTGGCCGCACCGCAAAAGAAAGGAGATCGGCCCCTCAGTCCTAATTTGCTAGGTTCGCCATATAGTTATTTACTATCTGATTTAGCTTTATTTTATTATTAAATCTAGATTGATGATTCTTTGAAACAAATTGTCTGGTTGCTTTTTGTTTGACTCAGTGATAACGATGTTGTGAAACAGGTTAAAGAGGATATTAAGTTACTACATACAAAGTATTCATACTCTGAAGTCTGAAACTGTGCTTATTCAATGCGTACTATCGTGTTATATGCGACTAGACTACAAATTTAAATTCAAATCTTAGCAGTTCCGAAGATCAAATATAAGAGGGTGAAATTATAGAATTTATTCGAACTGTCAGCGCATTAAAACTATTCAGCTACTAAATAACTATGTAATATCATACAACGTGTCGCAAACACGAGATAAAAGATAAATAATTTATCAAAGTGTCATTGGTTGAGACATCATCAGTTAGGATCGAACATTCGAACGATAATATTTACAATTAAATTATCCGACATTACCGAGCTTGCTATTTTATGGCTCGCTTCTCTCTGGGACATGGAAGTTAAACGAATAGCATGGAGGGAATTAGGAATGGTGCAGCTGATATGTTCAACATTGTCATTTCATCGAGTGTTAGTTTTTTACTAACTTTTTTTTTATTTTTATTTTTATTTGAAAATTCAATTAATTATTATATATATAAATCAAGCGTTACATTTCAGCCACGCAAAATTACAATGACATATTTTGATATACTAATTGATAAATGGAACTGCAATATAAGTTGCTTAATGTTTGGCCGGATGACAACTAACTAAAAGAGAAAAATAAACTTGATTACATAATAATTAATTCGGCTGAACCAACACATAGCAAGAGCCACATTAACGTTGGGGCCGTCTACCAAATTTGAATGACATACAATAACAAAAAATCAAACATATCATAAATAATTATATATGGATTTTGTTCATTACAATTCCGTCACAACTGATAGAAGAAAAAAGAAAGGACAAGCGGATAGGAAATTGGACGGCAGAATTGTAACCAACAAAAACACATTTAAGCTAGTCTGGCCAGACTGTATCGGCAGGCCAGAGGTACTTGATCAGATTGGCCTTAAAAGTAGAAATCCGCTCTGACTGCCGGATACATACTGGTAGACTATTCCATTTCAGCATAGATCTATGAAAGAAGCTATTTCGGAAGGCATCCGAGCAGGGCACAGTGGTACTCATGTAAGTTGAAGTATCCGACCTATCAATTATTTGAGCATTGTGCCTAGTGTATCGGGTGCCCTCTGGACGGCATAGGACTATATAAGTAGGAAGCGAAACTGGGATTATGCTATTCACTATTTTATAGAAGGTCATAAGATCGTTATAAATAAACTTCTGCATGACAGGGAGAATATTTAGCTTCTTTTGCTCTGTAGCAAGTTTATCGTCATTATAACTGGAGTAGGGTTCGCCATTGATCCATTTAATAGCCCTCTTTTGGATAGCAACAAACTGTTGAAGATGAATTGCAGATTGAGGGGACCATATGACAGAACAATGTTCAAATATAGACCTAATTAACGCTAAATAGAACGATCTTTTCTGCCTTTTATCAGTAGTGAAATGACATGTTCTCTTAAGTAGTCCAAGTCTGGAGTTAGCTTTGGAAACAAGCGCTTTACATATATAACGAACTTCCTTGATTACCCTGTTTAAACGTTCCTGTTTAAAAGTTCATGCTGTCTTGACAGCTTGACGCATGTTCCACAAACTTTACTTTTGTGCATGTTATGTTTGTCGGGATGTTTGTGGTCTTGTTTGATAAAGATCAACTGCGCAATCTTGAAACAAATCCTCTCCAGCTTCTCCAGAAACAAGAGTTTATATTCTTGTAAAGTTCACTGTAGAAAATAGGGTTCAGAATGCTGTTGATGGGTAGAACCACCAGAGCTAGCACTTCAAACAGTACGGGAGGGGGACTATCACTAACTAGTTGGAAGTACACAGCAGCCCCGATAAAAGATAACCAACTTGCTAGTTGTGTTCCTATCATCAGGGAAATCTTCAGAGCTAGTGAGGGGGCTGCAGCGTTTTGTCTGTTCATCCCACCTCCAATGTCTCCCACCTCACGTCGAGATTCTAACTGCTGTCTTACTATGATGAGGTAAGTGAGAGTAACTATGACCAGAAGTAGGGACACTGTGATAAGGTAGGAGAGTTTATAGATGAGGTAGGATAGTTGTTCTTTAAAGACGTTGTGAACACACAGACGGGTGTTTCCATAATACCCTATATCTATGACATCGAATATGTTGTCTTTACTGGTAATGATGTTGAGGTCTCTGACTGTTGTGTACAGATCAGTTTTGTTAGAGTAATATGTCTCATGTAGGTGGTTTAACCAAGTCATGTTTACATAGCTAGAGCTAATGAAAGGATTATCTAGAAAGTTTTTAAAGAACACGTCTGTGCGGAAGATGTTTTGTATGGCAACCAAAGGAAGGATGGGAATCAATGCGTTGATCACATTTATGGCAATAAGTATTGCAGATGTTATGAATATTGTTTTAAGTTTGGTTTGATGATATACTCTGACACAATTAATACACCTGACTACACTCATAAGGGCTATTGCACTGAGGGACCCATGTGAAGCTATTGAGAATGTCAGTCCAAGTACCAGGCAGAAGGTGCTTGATCTCCAACTTTCATCTTGAAGACAGTAGTCACCATTTGCACGAAGAACCAGAGCTGCAACCACAACACCACAGTTATACAGACCCATACTACCATCAAAGAAAAGAACCTGGAGACACAACAATCTGTCAACTTTGCCGGCTGATGTGGAGGGGGTGTTGTTGTAGCATCTGATCACCCCTCTCAAGTTCAGTGCTATCGATGAGACTCCTGCAAAAGCTGTGAAAGCAAGCAGAAAGTAAGAACTGAGGAGTAGGTTGGCTGAACCGTCTGAGTTACAGGGGTCACATTCGTCACGTCCGTTGGAGCAGTGTTTGATATTATCACAAGTTTTATCAGGAGTCACCCACTCTGTACTCTCAGAGGTATTGAGGGAGCAATAGAAACGACCTGGACATTCTGCCTCATCCGCACTGTTAGAACAATCTAATTCTCCGTCACACAGTTTAGATAAGGGGCAGGTTTCATAGCTTTCGGGGGCACAACTGAAATGAGCCTGTGCAAACATACCCATATATACTAACACAATTCTTTCGCAAAACTTATCCCATTTGCCATCAGCAAAGTCAGGAGTGTCAGAGCAATTTGTTTTACAGTATAAGCTAGTAATATTTCCATGGTTATTATCAATGAGCGCGTGTATGATAGTATAGTTGAGGCATTGGTTGATAGGGTTTTCATTATCCAAAATTGCAGAGCAGTCAACATACTCAATATTACGAAAGGTGCATGAATAATTTAACTGTGAAATTGCGTCTTTTTTTTCACAATATTCTCTTTGTGACAAGCAAATACTAGAGGAGTTTAGGATAGGACATTGTATTTCCACGAAACCCTCACATAAACACTCATCAGCGCCATCAAGACAATCATTCTTACCATCACACAACTGTGGAAAGGTGACACATCCAGTGCGTTTTGGACAGAAGAAGACATCTATACTGCTGTTAGTACAGCCACATTCGTCTGTCAGGCAATCAGAAATCGTGTCGCAGTATTGGTTGTCATTGATCTTGCAGAACCAGGGTATTTCAGAGATTGATGCTACCCATGAAGGAGCAATTTGTTTTTTAAGCACAAGATCCACAGCGCTAACTGGAATTTGACACACACCTTTCGTTTTATTTGCCATTATGAATAATATTGATAACATTGAGTGAATGAAAGGAGTTTTCATAATATTTGTTACGCAATACATCTGTGCGAGCTTCTTGGCAGGTGTATCTTTTACCTGTAACAATCTGTTTCATTTCATCTAAGTTGACGATATTGGGAACAGTTATTGGGTAAGCCATGGAGGGTTTGTCAGGAGAAGGTTTGGTAGGAGGGGGAGGGATACCAGGGTTGATGAGACAAAATAAGATGAATGTAATCAGAGGTATTAATAGTCTGAACATCTCCTCATCTGTCTATTGAATAATTATAGGTGTTAACAAATAAAAAATAGCTGTTGAAATTTAAATTTAAGTTTAGATCTTATCAAATAAATGGAAGAAAATTGCAAAATAAATTGATACTATCCGACAAATATGTATAAACTGGGGTAAACTATTACTATTAGTATTTATAGCTACTTCGATATGGTCTTAGGGCCGTAATTCCCGGGGGGATTGGGGGATCGTCCCCCAAGATTTTTGGCCACTAACTTAAATTTTCTTTGTAGTTTATTACAAATAATAACTTATAAATTACAATTAACTTTAAGATCATTGCATTGGGAAAAACTGCTAGCTGCACAGATCTCTGATGTCTTATCTGCAAGGTGCCGCCGAGAATGCGCGGTTGTTGCAACTAGCACGTGCCGCCGAGAATGCGCGGCTGCTGCAACTAGCACGTGCGGCCCCGTGTCGTATTACACTCATTGTATAATGTATATGGTCCCCCATGGAGATACAGTCTAACCATAATCAACGGTGTTCAATAATTCCACGGGTATCTACTACCTAAAAGTGCTTCTATACCTAAGTGCAAGATAATTTCTAATTGCTAAAAGTTCATAGTTTTACTTTTAACTCACAAAGCCAAAATTTTTCCGGGGGCTTCGACCCCTGGACTCAATTGCCAATTCGCTCGGCCATGATTTCGGAATTACGGCCCTGTGGCCTGTAAGTGTATGGCATATTGAGTCTCGAGTTACCTGGGGACCTCAGGCTATTATATTTATGTTCATATAAATCATAGAATAGAGATTAGGCGGAATGACAGGCTGAGCGCCGCCCATGTAAAAGACAAAAGTAATATCATCATCCGACAGATCGTATTGGATATCAGTTACAATGGGTTACGATGAGGAGATCCTGGAAGGAAAGATCAGGAAAGTGGAGGATACTGCTGATCGTTGTAAGAACAAGGAAAGCTGGAAGCTTGTCAACGATATTTCAGGGAGGACAAATCCCAGCTGTGGACTCGTAGAAGGGGGCAGCTCAACAGAACGCCTCGAGAACTGGAGCACTCCTCTGGGTTACTTGGACAACCACCCACAGTCCCCGACAGTAGTATTCCGATCAGGAATATACACCCTCCACTGAATATAGAGGATGGCCCGTTCACCATTGAGGAACTACGTCTAGCCAAAAAGCAGATAGTAGAATTGGTAAGGCTTATGGTGATGATGGTATCTCACCTGAAGTGATGAAGAGGGTGGACATCGATGACGTCATCCTGAAGTTCTGCAACGATGCACTATGTGATGGTCTCATTCCCGATCAATGGAAGCTCGAGTAATACTAATATTGTTCCTGTGCCAAACAAAGGGGACCTCGCACTAAGACAGACAACTACAGAGGAATATCTCTGACATCGATAGTCAGTAAAACTCTGAACAAAATGTTGCTGAACAGGATGAAGCCAAGTCTTGAGGAAGTTTTAAGGGACAACCAGAATGGCTTTAGACCTGGGCGCTCTACAACATCGCACATTCTTGCTCTACGAAGAATTATGGAGGGTGCTAAAGCCAAAAACCTAAAAGCCACCATGTAATGGTTTTCATTGATTTTAAAATGGCGTTCGATAGTGTGCATATAGGTTTGCTCATGAAGACATTGAAAGCAGATGGCATACCAAAAGCCATAGTGCGGCTAATTGAGAGTATATACACGGGCACAAAGGCTATAAAAGTAGTTATTACCTGGGGACCCCAGGCTATTATGTTCATAAAGATTTGGCGGAATGACAGGCTGAGCGCGGCCCAGTAAAGTAGTTACAGCTGATGGTATAACAGAGATTTTTTCCCGATCCATGACTCAATTAGTGCCGAAGGCACAAAAGAGTCAAGGACAAGGGTTAGCGAACGAGGTTTTTTTTGTATATGCAGTAGCTTTGCGACCGTGCGTGGTTGCGACCGTACGTACATGCCCTCGCGCACTGTTATTGCCCACGTGACTACCTGCGCAAAGTTATTTTGCGCAATAATCTGAATTAAATAATTGTTGGCGCGCGGCGCTGAACTGACCAAGTACATTGTTAATTTCACCATGTACATATCCCACTAGGCACTAATTGATAGCATACTATTATTATTTTAAGTAATCACTATTACTATTTTGCACAGATCCGTGTCGGGTGTCTGGTTGCATAAACAATAAGCATATGGTTACATAAAAATATACACGATTTTCAAATTCAATGACAATTATATTAACTTGCAGGCTAGGTGGCGCTCGGCCTGTCACTCCGCCATATCTGCATTTTACTATATATAAAGCGAGACGATATATATGGATGGATCCGTGCCATTTTACTGACACCACGGCATCAACTTTAACACGACTTTCCGCAAAAACCGTAAAAGATATACAACTGAAACTTTTTTGACTGGGTCAAATGCCTTTTTTTTATTAAATACTTTTCAAATTTTACAGAGTACAGCAATAGATGAATATAAAATAGAATCGTTCAAAATATCGCCCCCATCTGTAAAATATGATTGGGCACCCAAACACGGTAAACACATAGTGAACTATGTCCGCAGTAACTTGGACCCATTGGCCTTCAAATCAGCACGAAAAATAAAATATTGGCCAAGGAATAAGAATTTTAGTACCCAAAATTTGGACCCCCAAGTGGTGTCAAAAACGCAAATTAAATAGATACTAATTATTTTAGTCTCTTGAGTCTTGACACCACTTTAGGGTTATAGGATTACACAGGATTACACAGGATTAAAATTAAATTATAGATCCATTATCATGGACCGTCATAATTGTACAGAGATTAATGAAAACATTCATCTTTCCTTGAAGTCAGGGCCAGGGTTATCCTTAAATCTTAATTATGACTAATTCGCGAGGTTATAAGACGGGTTCCTGCTAGTGCTTATAAACAGTAAAAACTGGGGTCCCCAGGTTGTACTTGTATGGAATATGATAAAATATGCCATCACGGATTGGGAAATTGAGCGGCCATCCACAAAAAAAAGCGGCCCCGCATTTCTTGTTGATATCCTGGCTGGAGTACTGCAAGGAGACACTCTGGCCCCGTACAGTACTTGTTCAATATCGTTATTGACTATATTATGACAGTGACTATAGACGATGATGACTCGTACTCTAGGTTCACTCTCAGGCCTGCACGGAGTAGAAGGATTGGTGCCGAGAAGATTGCAGACATCAAGTTTGCAGATGATGTTGCCCTTATTATCACTAATACCATTATCACTGATACCATTTTTTTTGTATATGCAGTAGCTTTGCGACCGTGCGTGGCTGCGACCGTACGTACGTGCCAATATTGTTATTGAAGGGGCAAAACTACTCCTGGACAGGCTTGAGAAAGCAGCACTGAGTGTGGGGCTAGCCAAGAACGACACTAAAACTAAGTTCATGACTCTGAACATGACAGAGGAGGCGAGTAGTCTTGAAAGCTGTTCTGGAAACCAGCTGGAAAAGGTGACAGACTTTGTATACCTTGGAGCATGGATAGCAACAACAGAGAGGGACCTGCGGGTCAGAAAAGCTAAGGCTTGGTCAGCCTGCCACATTCCACAAGCTTAAGAAGATGTGGAAGTCTAACCTTAGAAGAGGACTAAAGATCCGTCTATTTGTTGTTACTGTGGAGTCAATACGTCTATATGGTTCTGAAACGTGGACGTTAACAGACCAATTGAAGAAACGCATTGATGGCTGCTCAGTGGCGTAACTTTGCCTGTTGGCCCCCCGCTCAGTGACAAAAAGCGCCCCCCTAAAATTTTTTGTGTCCCTAAAAATAAAAAATAAAAAAAAAAAAGGTCGGGTACTTTTTTTTCGCCCCCTAAGGCTTTTTGCGCCCCCTGAAGCAAAAAAGGGTACCCCAAATATTTTTTTCGCGTCGACTGAACGCTAAATTGGACAGGGAAATACACAAACAAGGCGTATTTTCAGTGAAAGGGCCTAAAATTCAGGAAAATTGCGCCCCCCTTATACGGCGCCCCCCCGCACAGCGGGGTCTGCGGGGCCCTAAGTTACGCCACTGTGGCTGCTACACTAGAATGCTAAGGATGGCACTAAATGTGGACTGGAAACAGCGCAAAACCAACAAAGAAGTCTATGACAACCTACCGAGAGCAACCATGAAGATCCAAAAGCGCAGGATGCAACTATAAGCAGGCCATATCCACCGGCACTCAGAACTAGTCGCAAACCGCTCGCTACTTTGTGAACCAAATCTGGAGAAATGGGCGGACTTATGGCGGATAGAGTTTGCAGCGCATCAATCAATACTCGGACGCTGAAGCCGCATTGTACTTGTATCACCCGTTAAAAGCCGCATTAAGTCAGTCAAGAGAAGTGCGATGATCACGTGACTAAAGAACTTTTAACGTGCTTTGTTTGTAGAAAATTCTTCTATAAGTTTCTAAATAATCTTTTATAATATAAGTTGAGATTTTTGAATGGATTTTATGTGGACTTAATACTAATACTATTAGTATTAAGTCCACTTATAAAATCCACTTAAAATGATGAATTATGAAACTATTAGTAATAGTTTCATAATTCATCATTTTAAGTGGATTTTATAGGTTGGCGCGCGTTATATGAACTAGCAGGAACCCGTATGCGTATAACCCTAAAACGGTGTCAAGACTCAAGAGACTAAAATAATTATTACCTATTTAATTCGCGTTTTTGACACCACTTGGGGGTCCAAATTTTGGGCTCTAGAACTCCTTTTCCTTGGCTAATTTTTATTTTTTCATGCTGATTTGAAGGCCAATAAAGCATTTGACCCAGTCAAAAAAGTTTCAGTTGTATATCTTTTACGGTTTTTGCGGAAAGTCGCGTTAAAGTTGATGCAGTGGAGACAGTAAAATGGCACGGATCCATATACATATATATATAGGAGTACAGCAACGAAATATATATATATATATCGTCTCGCTTTATATATAGTAAGATATCTCCACCCTTCTACCAAAACACAAAAGCACATTTAATTTGATACATATGAAATATGTCTATAACTTGCTCGATTCTGCATTAAGTTGACGTAAACTGACCAATTTTGAACGGGAAATTGTTTAAAATTATTTTCGAGGCATATTGACAAAACTAAAATTTAAAAGCTACTCACGCTATTGTGCTTTTTCACGGAGAAATTAGACAGAAGCGTTTTTAGCGTTAACAAAATAGTAATACTGAAAACTCGTGGCTCCTTATGCCATATTGGTATAAATATAACTTATAATTATATTGCATAAGTAAAGGATCAGCCGTCAAAGAAAAATCCATACATTTTACAGTATGGAGATAGATGATTTGATATATTCCTCGAATGAGTGGTAATAATATTAGTAACTCAAACCAGAAAGAATTATCTCAATCAGACACTCAGTGACTGCAGAGCTATAAAGGCCAAAGTATGTACACTGACTTTTAGCCCATCTGTAATTAAAAATTAGAAACTGTAAGATTGCTATTGGACACGCACTTCAATATTTCCTCCATCAAGAGAGTGTCTCCCTCGTTTAGCTGAAACCACCGTCCACGTCGAAAACAGAACTTGAAAAGAAAGGCTTCTGGTTGAGTTTTGAGATTACCTGGGGACCCCAGGCTATAATGTTCATAAAGAGAGATTCGGCGGAATCACTGGCTGAACGCCGCCCAGTAATCTTGAGAATGAGATCAACCGACGAAGTACCAATGATGCACTCGGACTAGGGCGTATTATTCGTTCCACCTCAAATCTTTGAGTTTGGTAAGAAGTGCTCAAGTAGAACGGACTCGACGATCATTCCTTTGGGGGACTCCTAAGATTAGGAACGCAAATCATATGGACAATGGACATGGTGGACGCGGAGCATTGGGTAATCGACGGTACCTTCAAATTCTTACCTTATTTCTTCTGCACCAGATTGGCTGCCATTGTTGCAACATAAACAATAAAGATCGAGTATTTGATTTTGTTCGGTATTGCGAAATACTAAAATGGCCCGCTGCCACGTGTCTCAATTTTTCCCAAACAAATAAGGAAATGATATTAATTTGAATAACCGCGTCCGCAAATGCAAAATGATACCGAGAATGAAATCGGTCGCTCGCTTTTCCCATTCATTCACGGCTTACTCGGACACGGGCTTATTATTCGTGACACCTCAAATCTTTAAGTTTGTCAGAACGGACTCGACGATCATTCCATTTCCTTTGGGGACTCATAAGAACGCAAATCATATGGACATGGTGGACGCGGAGTATTGGGTAATCGACGGCACCTTCAAATCTGAACATTTAATTTCATATTTAAATTCCATCAGGTTGGTTGCCACTTGCCATACATTGTTTTGACCATTGTTAATGATCTGGCCCGGCGCGCGCTACTTCGTAGCACGTGCCATCGAAAAGAAAACCAAAAGCGGCGCGCGCTACTTCGAAGAAATTTAGACGAACGTATAAACGTACATCCGTCAAGCCATTGTTGCGACATAAACAACAAAGATCGAGTTATACTTGTTCGGTATTGCGAAATACTTTGGTAATGGTATTTTCACTGTTTGGTAGTAATAATGATATTGAGTAATTTTGTATTACTATTAGTAGTTGTACAGCAATACTAATGGGACTACTGCAGACCCTCTACCGGCCAAACCTTGTTAACAAAGCCGCAGTCAAGGTACGGTGAACGGTAGTTAAAAGCGCTTAAGGGACATAAATCAAAGTGGTATAGCAACATCATGTAGTGGACATCTTGAGAAATGAGTTCTAGGTAGAATGTAAGGTTGCTCCTTCATAAATCGTCTTTTTCTCCGATAATAAGTTGACATCAAGTCTTGAAAATTATTCGAGAAGAATCTCGAATAATTTAGTTTAATTACAGCGTCCCATATGGCTATCTAAACTGCAAACCCTATCCAATTCCATTGCTGAACACGGCCTTTATCTTTTCCGACGAGTGGGATCATCAATAACGAGGTCTGGTGACATCCTCTGGATCAGGCCGAGGTCTATAAGTGTTATCGGGATTACTTCTGTAGTAGTTGTACAGCAATAAAATGATGTCACCATTTTACCTAGTCACACAGACATCGAACGCTGTAAGAAGATGATGCGATCAAACCGCGTTAATTTGTTTTACTTTTATTCATAGAAAAATATAATAGGGATCTTTCATATTGTGTTCCATACATGGAGCGCTTTTTCACGCCACTGCTGACTGCTTTATACTATTACGATAGACACTATCTTACAAAATAAGAAACAGAGGGAGAAATGCTGTTGTGGGACGAGGAGAGCGTTCCCCTCCAAAGGAAAGAGGTTGAACTAAATATTATGTTACTAATTAAATTATCATTCAATTTCCGTATCTGGTTTGGAATTTGGCTGTCTTAAATCTTAATAGATTCTATCAGCCTATCAAAAAGGAAGTAAGTATTTTGAATTTGATAATTACAGTTACAAAGCAACAATTAACATTTAGCCTAAGAATTGAGATTCAACATATTGATGTCTTCTGTTTCATAGAGTGGGTTATATGACTGTGTGACATTATCATATCCTCCGGATTAGCCATAATCATATTAAGTTATTATGCTATTGAGTCTCGTTTGATGATTCTTTCAAACAAAATTCTGTAAAAACCTTGATTCAGTGATCACGATGCTAACAAGGTTAGTAGATACTAAGATACGTACTATCACGACTCTTACTAAAACTGGTAGGTATAAAGCCTAAACTACATATTCTCTGTAAGTTTATATAGCTTTATAATTAATATCTGTTTAATTAAAAAATTAAATTTTGAAAACTGATTGAGTTGTTACAATTTTAATGAAATCAATTCCGCGAATATCGCGAACCAAGATACGGGCAATTACTTTTTGTGGTCTTTTCGCCTTCGACTTACGACTTAGGGCGGCTTCAACGTCCGAACAGAGATAGTTTTTTTCTTCAAATCTGTCTATCCAGCATGAGTTTGTTAATCTCCTTGCTGTCGTCAAGCACCGTGTCCTTCCGAAAGATGTCAATATATGTGAGGTGTGGTCTTCCCCTTCGACGATGTCCTTGAAGGGGTTCCCAGAAGAGAAGTTGATGACTCAGAAGTTCTTCATGTCTGGCTAAATGACCTGCGAGTCTCAGTATCCACATTTAAATTGATTAAAGTTAAACCCATGAATTTTAAAGAAATCTATATTGGAAAAATCACTGTGAAAGTATTGCTAGGATTCCATCGAAAAACCACGTAGAAAAGTATTCTACATTAAATTTAATGAAGCAAAATGACAAAAAGAACACCAGAACTAAAAGTTTAAGTATATACGAATATAGTGCCCCCAATTCTCTCGAAGTGACTTGAGCGTAACAAAAGCGTGGCAATCTGTAAAACTTGATTTAATTGATAATTGATAATGCAAGCCTCGATCACGCGTGTAGTGCATCACTCCTGATGCTTGAAGGATAATGTACTCTAAATATCTTAATAATTTCTTCTAGTCTAAATGACCCGAGGCAAATAACTGCGAAATAGAAGTTGTACTTCGCTTTAAGGGCGGTGACTAATTCTCGAACTTGAGTCATATAAATCGGTATAAATAACGGGGTCCGGACTCTACGGCGTAACTGTAAGACTCTACGGCTCTATTAGGGTTGGAGTCTTACGCCGTAGAGTCCCGGACCGGCCGGACCCATAAATAACATATAATTATTTACTGGGCCGCGCTCAGCCTGTCATTCCGCCTAATCTTTAGTGATTAGTCATTGGTCAAAAATTCAGTAAAAACTGTAACATTTTGGTAAAGGAAACGGCAGAAAAGCTTCTATTCAATTTCAAAAATACTTAAAAATATTTCCTTCTATTTTGGTGATTTTCCGTGTATCAAAGCTTTCTTTGGTAATTTAGCTTTCAGTAACTCAATCGTGTGCCATACACAGTGAGCCCATTAAAAAATCTTACGTACGAGAGATACTGATAGGACGGCGTAAATTTTGTTTTTAAGCTTTTTCAAAATTTGATAAATTACTGCACATGTAAAAATTGGGTATGAATCTGATCTAAATCAGTGTATTTTTTGGACAATGGACGCTGATTCCGAATCACCCCTATGACGTAGGGTAAAAATGCTTCCCTGGAGAGTTAATATGGACAAAAAACCGTTTTGGTCACGTGACAGGCTAGTAAAACATGAATTCGATTGTTTAGGGCTCGGGTTAGGGTTAGGGTTGTGGTAAGAGTTATGGATAGCTTCGGTGTTATGGTTAGGGTTGGGATTAGGGTTTCCGTTTATGTAAAACCGTTTTGTACGGCTGCAAAACCATAAAAACCAGAGTCACGTGAAATTTTTGGGCGAGCAAATTAGTAAAAGCCAAAAATTCCTTATTGTTGACTAATTTTGACAAAACAACCATTTTATCAGCTCCATCAGTCAACTCTAAAGCATGATTAGTCTAGTTACCCTCGTGTTACCCTAGTTACCCTAGTTACCCTAGTCTTACCCTAGTTACCCTCGTGTTACCCTAGTTACCCTAGTCTTACCCTAGTTACCCTCGTGTTACCCTAGTTACCCTCGTGTTACCCTAGTTACCCTCGTGTTACCCTAGTTACCCTAGTCTTACCCTAGTTACCCTAGTCTTACCCTAATTACCCTCGTGTTACCCTCGTGTTACCCTAGTTACCCTCGTGTTACCCTAGTTACCCTAGTCTTACCCTAGTTACCCTAGTCTTACCCTAGTTACCCTCGTGTTACCCTAGTTACCCTCGTGTTACCCTAGTTACCCTCGTGTTACCCTAGTTACCCTAGTTACCCTCGTTGCCCTCGTGACCTGTCTTTAACTGCTCTAACTGACAGGGCAAACGAGATCGTGACGAAAACAGTCAAGTTGGTGCGGGGTCCTCAGGGATATGGCATGTACTTGCGAGAGGTAAGTTGGTGCGGGGTCCTCAGGGATATGGCATGTACCTGCGAGAGGTAAGTTGGTGCGGGGTCCTCAGGGATATGGCATGTACTTGCGAGAGGTAAGTTGGTGCGGGGTCCTCAGGGATATGGTATGTACTTGCGAGAGGTAAGTTGGTGCGGGGTCCTCAGGGATATGACATGTACTTGCGAGAGGTAAGTTGGTGCGGGGTCCTCAGGGATATGACATGTACTTGCGAGAGGTAAGTTGGTGCGGGGTCCTCAGGGATATGACATGTACTTGCGAGAGGTAAGTTGGTGCGGGGTCCTCAGGGATATGACATGTACTTGCGAGAGGTAAGTTGGTGCGGGGTCCTCAGGGATATGACATGTACTTGTGAGAGGTAAGTTGGTGCGGGGTCCTCAGGGATATGGTATGTACTTGCGAGAGGTAAGTTGGTGCGGGGTCCTCAGGGATATGGTATGTACTTGCGAGAGGTAAGTTGGTGCGGGGTCCTCAGGGATATGACATGTACTTGCGAGAGGTAAGTTGGTGCGGGGTCCTCAGGGATATGGCATGTACTTGCGAGAGGTAAGTTGGTGCGGGGTCCTCAGGGATATGGCATGTACTTGCGAGAGGTAAGTTGGTGCGGGGTCCTCAGGGATATGACATGTACTTGCGAGAGGTAAGTTGGTGCGGGGTCCTCAGGGATATGACATGTACTTGCGAGAGGTAAGTTGGTGCGGGGTCCTCAGGGATATGGCATGTACTTGCGAGAGGTAAGTTGGTGCGGGGTCCTCAGGGATATGACATGTACTTGCGAGAGGTAAGTTGGTGCGGGGTCCTCAGGGATATGACATGTACTTGCGAGAGGTAAGTTGGTGCGGGGTCCTCAGGGATATGGCATGTACTTGCGAGAGGTAAGTTGGTGCGGGGTCCTCAGGGATATGACATGTACTTGCGAGAGGTAAGTTGGTGCGGGGTCCTCAGGGATATGACATGTACTTGTGAGAGGTAAGTTGGTGCGGGGTCCTCAGGGATATGGCATGTACTTGCGAGAGGTAAGTTGGTGCGGGGTCCTCAGGGATATGGCATGTACTTGCGAGAGGTAAGTTGGTGCGGGGTCCTCAGGGATATGGCATGTACTTGCGAGAGGTAAGTTGGTGCGGGGTCCTCAGGGATATGGCATGTACTTGCGAGAGGTAAGTTGGTGCGGGGTCCTCAGGGATATGGCATGTACTTGCGAGAGGTAAGTTGGTGCGGGGTCCTCAGGGATATGGCATGTACTTGCGAGAGGTAAGTTGGTGCGGGGTCCTCAGGGATATGGCATGTACTTGCGAGAGGTAAGTTGGTGCGGGGTCCTCAGGATATGGCATGTACTTGCGAGAGGTAAGTTGGTGCGGGGTCCTCAGAGATATGGCATGTACTTGCGAGAGGTAAGTTGGTGCGGGGTCCTCAGGGATATGTCATGTACTTGCGAGAGGTAAGTTGGTGCGGGGTCCTCAGGGATATGACATGTACTTGCTAGAGGTAAGTTGGTGCGGGGTACTCAGGGATATGGCATGTACTTGTGAGAGGTAAGTTGGTGCGGGGTCCTCAGGGATATGGCATGTACTTGCGAGAGGTAAGTTGGTGCGGGGTCCTCAGGGATATGACATGTACTTGCTAGAGGTAAGTTGGTGCGGGGTACTCAGGGATATGGCATGTACTTGCGAGAGGTAAGTTGGTGCGGGGTCCTCAGGGATATGGCATGTACTTGCGAGAGGTAAGTTGGTGCGGGGTCCTCAGGGATATGGCATGTACTTGCGAGAGGTAAGTTGGTGCGGGGTCCTCAGGGATATGGCATGTACTTGCGAGAGGTAAGTTGGTGCGGGGTCCTCAGAGATATGGCATGTACTTGCGAGAGGTAAGTTGGTGCGGGGTCCTCAGGGATATGGCATGTACTTGCGAGAGGTAAGTTGGTGCGGGGTCCTCAGGGATATGGCATGTACTTGCTAGAGGTAAGTTGGTGCGGGGTCCTCAGGGATATGGCATGTACTTGCGAGAGGTAAGTTGGTGCGGGGTCCTCAGGGATATGGCATGTACTTGCGAGAGGTAAGTTGGTGCGGGGTCCTCAGGGATATGGCATGTACTTGCGAGAGGTAAGTTGGTGCGGGGTCCTCAGGGATATGGCATGTACTTGCGGGAGGTAAGTTGGTGCGGGGTCCTCAGGGTTATGGCATGTACTTGCGAGAGGTAAGTTGGTGCGGGGTCCTCAGGGATATGACATGTACTTGCGAGAGGTAAGTTGGTGCGGGGTCCTCAGGATATGGCATGTACTTGCGAGAGGTAAGTTGGTGCGGGGTCCTCAGGGATATGGCATGTACTTGCGAGAGGTAAGTTGGTGCGGGGTCCTCAGGGATATGGCATGTACTTGCGAGAGGTAAGTTGGTGCGGGGTCCTCAGGGATATGGCATGTACTTGCGAGAGGTAAGTTGGTGCGGGGTCCTCAGGGATATGGCATGTACTTGCGAGAGGTAAGTTGGTGCGGGGTCCTCAGGGATATGGCATGTACTTGCGAGAGGTAAGTTGGTGCGGGGTCCTCAGGGATATGGCATGTACTTGCGAGAGGTAAGTTGGTGCGGGGTCCTCAGGGATATGGCATGTACTTGCGAGAGGTAAGTTGGTGCGGGGTCCTCAGGGATATGGCATGTACTTGCGAGAGGTAAGTTGGTGCGGGGTCCTCAGGGATATGGCATGTACTTGCGAGAGGTAAGTTGGTGCGGGGTCCTCAGGGATATGGCATGTACTTGCGAGAGGTAAGTTGGTGCGGGGTCCTCAGGGATATGGCATGTACTTGCGAGAGGTAAGTTGGTGCGGGGTCCTCAGGGATATGGCATGTACTTGCGAGAGGTAAGTTGGTGCGGGGTCCTCAGGGATATGACATGTACTTGCGAGAGGTAAGTTGGTGCGGGGTCCTCAGGAATATGGCATGTACTTGCGAGAGGTAAGTTGGTGCGGGGTCCTCAGGATATGGCATGTACTTGCGAGAGGTAAGTTGGTGCGGGGTCCTCAGGGATATGGCATGTACTTGCGAGAGGTAAGTTGGTGCGGGGTCCTCAGGGATATGACATGTACTTGCGAGAGGTAAGTTGGTGCGGGGTCCTCAGGGATATGGCATGTACTTGCGAGAGGTAAGTTGGTGCGGGGTCCTCAGGGATATGGCATGTACTTGTGAGAGGTAAGTTGGTGCGGGGTCCTCAGGGATATGACATGTACTTGCGAGAGGTAAGTTGGTGCGGGGTCCTCAGGGATATGGCATGTACTTGCGAGAGGTAAGTTGGTGTGGGGTCCTCAGGGATATGACATGTACTTGCGAGAGGTAAGTTGGTGCGGGGTCCTCAGGGATATGGCATGTACTTGCGAGAGGTAAGTTGGTGCGGGGTCCTCAGGGATATACCACGAGAGGTAAATACCACTACCAATACAGTACTACAGTAGTAAGTAGTACTATATTAAAGTGGGTTTTTCTATTTTATTTTTGACACGACGTATTGACATTGTTTATATGAAATTTGTGAAACTTTAAAACCAGTGTGCCTTCAGTTTCAATCCTTATTTACATGATATTTGGACACAATCTTTATTTTCAGGCGTGTTCAGTGGATAAAATAGCAAGCTTCGTGCCAACAGAAACCAAACCAAGCACTCAGCTAATAATAGACTGCGATAAAGGAGGTGTTGCTGAAGGAGCAGGGCTACAAGCAGGGGACTTCATCATTGAGGTAAGGGCTACAAGCAGGGGACTTCATCATTGAGGTAAGGGCTACAAGCAGGGGACTTCATCATTGAGGTAAGGGCTACAAGCGGGGGACTTCATCATTGAGGTAAGGGCTACAAGCAGGGGACTTCATCATTGAGGTAAGGGCTACAAGCAGGGGACTTCATCATTGAGGTAAGGGCTACAAGCGGGGGACTTCATCATTGAGGTAAGGGCTACAAGCAGGGGACTTCATCATTGAGGTAAGGGCTACAAGCAGGGGACTTCATCATTGAGGTAAGGGCTACAAGCAGGGGACTTCATCATTGAGGTAAGGGCTACAAGCAGGGGACTTCATCATTGAGGTAAGGGCTACAAGCAGGGGACTTCATCATTGAGGTAAGGGCTACAAGCAGGGGACTTCATCATTGAGGTAAGGGCTACAAGCAGGGGACTTCATCATTGAGGTAAGGGCTACAAGCAGGGGACTTCATCATTGAGGTAAGGGCTACAAGCGGGGGACTTCATCATTGAGGTAAGGGCTACAAGCAGGGGACTTCATCATTGAGGTAAGGGCTACAAGCAGGGGACTTCATCATTGAGGTAAGGGCTACAAGCAGGGGACTTCATCATTGAGGTAAGGGCTACAAGCAGGGGACTTCATCATTGAGGTAAGGGCTACAAGCAGGGGACTTCATCATTGAGGTAAGGGCTACAAGCAGGGGACTTCATCATTGAGGTAAGGGCTACAAGCAGGGGACTTCATCATTGAGGTAAGGGCTACAAGCAGGGGACTTCATCATTGAGGTAAGGGCTACAAGCAGGGGACTTCATCATTGAGGTAAGGGCTACAAGCAGGGGACTTCATCATTGAGGTAAGGGCTACAAGCAGGGGACTTCATCATTGAGGTAAGGCTACAAGCAGGGGACTTCATCATTGAGGTACAAAAATTTAGAGGAAGCTAATTAATTAGAGTTGTTACCCAATTTATTAGACTCTTGCTTTCAGGTAAATAACGAAATGTGCGCAGTTGCAAAACAATTCAGGCCTGTTTTGCCTGTTGTATTTTATACCCCAAATATTGCGTCGACCTAACGTTCAACTTCAACTTCAAGTGGACGGGATAACAGTGGAGTTACCACCTACGAGTGAAAACTGAGAGGCGCGCCACCTCTCAGTTTTCACTCGTAGGTGGGAACTCCACTGTTACTGGATACACAAATGTGCTGTTTTTCAGGTAAATAACGAGGATGTGCGCAAGAAGCCTCACACAGAGCTACTCCTCTTAGTTGGGTCTTTACAGACTGAAGTTTGTCTGAAAGTTGTCCACGTCCCCAAGTTCAAGATTCTCTCATTCGAAGCTAAGAAGTTCAGAAAGGAGAAGAAAGAGGAACAAAAAGTTTCTGATACTCCGACCGGAGATAAGGTTCGACATTTTAACTGCAGGGTACCCTGTAGTTTTAACTATGTTTTTGTTTTTACAGGAGAAAATAAAGTAAATGTGTAGACTGTAGAACTATAAATATAATAACGTGGGAACAGATCAACTCCTTTAATTAAAACTACATTCTGTTACTATAGAGATAGCAGGAGCTGTTATATAGATCTTATTTACTTACTTGTTATATAGTTATATCCACTAGCGAGCTCTTTTTGTTATATACACCGACAAAACTACAAATGAGGCACAATAACACACTGTCATTTGATATTCCTCGGTGTTTGTGCATGGTTTTAAGACCCGTTGAGAGTTTGTGCATTATAGGTGGTAGTTACTAACAAGTGTCGCCCTCCCACTGTAACGAACCCTGCTGAGGCTCACTCCGATCATCTCACAGTTAACCAGGTTATTATCATCTGCAGCTACTTATCCAGTACTTCTCATCACACAGTGCACACAGTGCAGTCTATTTAGTGCACACAGTGCAGTCTATTTAGTGCACACTGTGCAGTCTATTTAGTGCACACTGTGCAGTATATTTAGTGCACACTGTGCAGTCTATTTAATGCACACTGTGTGCAGTCTATTTAGTGCACACAGTGCAGTCTATTTAGTGCACACAGTGCAGTCTATTTAGTGCACACTGTGCAGTCTATTCAGTGCACACAGTGCAGTCTATTTAGTGCACACTGTGTGCAGTCTATTTAGTGCACACTGTGCAGTATATTTAGTGCACACAGTGCAGTATATTTAGTGCACACTGTGCAGTCTATTTAGTGCACACTGTGTGCAGTCTATTTAGTGCACACAGTACAGTCTATTTATTGCACACTGTGCAGTCTATTTAGTGCACACAGTGCAGTATATTTAGTGCACACTGTGTGCAGTCTATTTAGTGCACACAGAGCAGTCTATTTAGTGCACACAGTGCAGTCTATTTAGTGCACACAGTGCAGTCTATTTAGTGCACACTGTGTGCAGTCTATTTAGTGCACACAGAGCAGTCTATTTAGTGCACACAGTGCAGTCTATTTAGTGCACACTGTGCAGTCTATTCAGTGCACACAGTGCAGTCTATTTAGTGCACACTGTGTGCAGTTTATTTAGTGCACACTGTGCAGTCTATTTAGTGCACACTGTGCAGTCTATTTAGTGCACACAGTGCAGTCTATTTAGTGCACACTGTACAGTCTATTCAGTGCACACAGTGCAGTCTATTTAGTGCACACTGTGCAGTATATTTAGTGCACACTGTGCAGTCTATTTAGTGCACACTGTGCAGTCTATTTAGTGCACACAGTGCAGTCTATTTAGTGCACACTGTGTGCAGTCTATTTAGTGCACGCAGTGCAGTCTATTTAGTGCACACAGAGCAGTCTATTCAGTGCACTCAGTGCAGTCTATTTAGTGCACACTGTGTGCAGTTTATTTAGTGCACACTGTGCAGTATATTTAGTGCACACTGTGCAGTCTATTTAGTGCACACTGTGCAGTCTATTTAGTGCACATAGTGCAGTCTATTTAGTGCACACTGTGTGCAGTCTATTTAGTGCACGCAGTGCAGTCTATTTAGTGCACACAGAGCAGTCTATTCAGTGCACACAGTGCAGTCTATTTAGTGCACACTGTGCAGTCTATTTAGTGCACACAGTGCAGTCTATTTAATGCACACTGTGTGCAGTCTATTTAGTGCACACTGTGTGCAGTCTATTTAGTGCACACAGTGCAGTCTATTTAGTGCACACTGTGTGCAGTATATTTAGTGCACGCAGTGCAGTCTATTTAATGCACACTGTGTGCAGTCTATTTAGTGCACACAGTGCAGTCTATTTAGTGCACACAGAGCAGTCTATTTAGTGCACACAGTGCAGTCTATTTAGTGCACACAGTGCAGTCTATTTAGTGCACACTGTGCAGTGTGCAGTCTATTTAGTGCACACAGTGCAGTCTATTTAGTGCACACAGTGCAGTCTATTTAGTGCACACAGTGCAGTCTATTTAGTGCACACAGTGCAGTCTATTTAGTACACAGCTTTACTCGCAGTGTTCCAACAAGGACGGGGTTCCAAACAATTCTAATTATTTCTTATGAATGATAATCAGCTAAAGTGTAAATGAGGCGCTGACTCTACACTCCGGAGATATAACTACACTACTACAGTATCTGGTGATTAACTCTACACTAATTACAAACATTATACTAATATACTTATAGCAGCTGCTAGTAGAGTATCTGGTGATTAACTCTACACTAATTACACTAATATACTTATAATAGCTGCACAGTGCACCAACTATGGGTAAATACTATTGCGATGTTCTGATTATGTCCAGCAACAATCTATCTGCCAAATATAGACAAACAGCTGAATTGTTATACACATAGAATTGGATCTGATTACAGGGTTAATTGGAGCTGATTACAGGGTTAATTGGAGCTGATTACAGGGTTAATTGGAGCTGATTACAGGGTTAATTGGAGCTGATTACAGGGTTAATTGGAGCTGATTACAGGGTTAATTGGAGCTGATTAAAGGGTTAATTGGATCGTATAACCTGCTGTGTGCATGATCCTCCGTACTATAATTTTGCAGATGGAGCCGTTATCACTTACAGTCCAAACCCTATTGTACAAATTGTAAGGTTATGTCTAATTTGTAAAGGAAGAACACAAATAGCTGTATTATCTCCTCCTCTTTTTAGACAGGTATAATAGCTGTTATCTCCTCCTCTTTTAAGACAGGTATAATAGCTGTTATCTCCTCCTCTTTTTAGACAGGTATAATAGCTGTTATCTCCTCCTCTTTTTAGACAGGTATAATAGCTGTTATCTCCTCCTCTTTTTAGACAGGTATAATAGCTGTTATCTTCTCCTCTTTTTAGACAGGTATAATAGCTGTTATCTTCTCCTCTTTTTAGACAGGTATAATAGCTGTTATCTTCTCCTCTTTTTAGACAGGTATAATAGCTGTTATCTCCTCTTCTTTTTAGACAGGTATAATAGCTGTTATCTCCTCCTCTTTTTAGACAGGTATAATAGCTGTTATCTCCTCCTCTTTTAGACGGGTATAATAGCTGTTATCTCCTCCTCTTTTTAGACAGGTATAATAGCTGTTATCTCCTCCTCTTTTTAGACAGGTATAATAGCTGTTATCTCCTCCTCTTTTTAGACAGGTATAATAGCTGTTATCTCCTCCTCTTTTTAGACAGGTATAATAGCTGTTATCTCCTCCTCTTTTAGACGGGTATAATAGCTGTTATCTCCTCCTCTTTTTAGACAGGTATAATAGCTGTTATCTCCTCCTCTTTTTAGACAGGTATAATAGCTGTTATCTCCTCCTCTTTTAGACAGGTATAATAGCTGTTATCTCCTCCTCTTTTTAGACAGGTATAATAGCTGTTATCTCCTCCTCTTTTTAGACAGGTATAATAGCTGTTATCTCCTCCTCGTTTTAGACAGGTATAATAGCTGTTATCTCCTCCTCTTTTTAGACAGGTATAATAGCTGTTATCTCCTTCTCTTTTTAGACAGGTATAATAACTGTTATCTCCTCCTCTTTTTAGACAGGTATAATAGCTGTTATCTCCTCCTCTTTTTAGACAGGTATAATAGCTGTTATCTCCTCCTCTTTTTAGACAGGTATAATAGCTGTTATCTCCTCCTCTTTTTAGACAGGTATAATAGCTGTTATCTCCTCCTCTTTTTAGACAGGTATAATAGCTGTTATCTCCTCCTCTTTTTAGACAGGTATAATAGCTGTTATCTCCTCCTCTTTTTAGACAGGTATAATAGCTGTTATCTCCTCCTCTTTTTAGACAGGTGCTCCGGGAGGCAGCCCGTCGGCAAGAAGGAGGAGGATAAAAGTGCTGCCAAAGTCGGAGTCAGAGGAAATGAAACCTGATGAGGTGTTTGAAGTATCTGCTGGGGACGATCCTAACAAGAAGAAACCCTTTGCTAATGGTATTAGATATAATATATTATATACCGTTTATAGAAATGATTCTATGTGTTCATTTGAAGTTGAAGATATTGGCAAATTGAAAAAATAGTGTTATCTACATAACCCAACTAATAGCGTTATCTACATAACCCAACTAATAGCGTTATCTACATGTTACCATGGTAACTTATCATATCCCCTTGGTGCAGTACAGGCCCCCGTTAGAATCCTCCCAACAAACTGTGACGCGTCCACAATATGGGAGCAAGCTAAAGCCATGCAAGCGCGGAGGAAGGGGAGTAACCCTTCAGCGGAGCAGGAGGATGATAGTTTCTTACCGGACACTCCGCCAGAGGACAGGGACCCTGATGCTATTATACAAGTGGTGAGAGGGAACTTCTTATTACAGCCCCCCCCCCCCCCCCAGGGACCCTGATGCTATTATACAAGTGGTGAGAGGGAACTACTTATTACAGCCCCCCCCCCCAGGGACCCTGATGCTATTATACAAGTGGTGAGAGGGAACTACTTATTACAGCCCCCCCCCCCCCCCCAGGGACCCTGATGCTATTATACAAGTGGTGAGAGGGAACTTCTTATTACAGCCCCCCCCCCCCCCCCCAGGGACCCTGATGCTATTATACAAGTGGTGAGAGGGAACTACTTATTACAGCCCCCCCCCCCAGGGACCCTGATGCTATTATACAAGTGGTGAGAGGGAACTACTTATTACAGCCCCCCCCCCCCCCCAGGGACCCTGATGCTATTATACAAGTGGTGAGAGGGAACTACTTATTACAGCCCCCCCCCCCCCAGGGACCCTGATGCTATTATACAAGTGGTGAGAGGGAACTACTTTTACAGCCCCCCCCCCCCAGGGACCCTGATGCTATTATACAAGTGGTGAGAGGGAACTACTTATTACAGCCCCCCCCCCCCCAGGGACCCTGATGCTATTATACAAGTGGTGAGAGGGAACTACTTATTACAGCCCCCCCCCCAGGGACCCTGATGCTATTATACAAGTGGTGAGAGGGAACTACTTATTACAGCCCCCCCCCCCAGGGACCCTGATGCTATTATACAAGTGGTGAGAGGGAACTACTTATTACAGCCCCCCCCCCCCCCCCCCCAGGGACCCTGATGCTATTATACAAGTGGTGAGAGGGAACTACTTATTACAGCCCCCCCCCCCCCCCCCCAGGGACCCTGATGCTATTATACAAGTGGTGAGAGGGAACTACTTATTACAGCCCCCCCCCCCCCCCAGGGACCCTGATGCTATTATACAAGTGGTGAGAGGGAACTACTTATTACAGCCCCCCCCCCCCAGGGACCCTGATGCTATTATACAAGTGGTGAGAGGGACTACTTATTACAGCCCCCCCCCCCCCCCCCAGGGACCCTGATGCTATTATACAAGTGGTGAGAGGGAACTACTTATTACAGCCCCCCCCCCCCCAGGGACCCTGATGCTATTATACAAGTGGTGAGAGGGGAACTACTTATTACAGCCCCCCCCCCCCCCCCAGGGACCCTGATGCTATTATACAAGTGGTGAGAGGGAACTACTTATTACAGCCCCCCCCCCCCCCAGGGACCCTGATGCTATTATACAAGTGGTGAGAGGGAACTACTTATTACAGCCCCCCCCCCCCCCCCCAGGGACCCTGATGCTATTATACAAGTGGTGAGAGGGAACTACTTATTACAGCCCCCCCCCCCCAGGGACCCTGATGCTATTATACAAGTGGTGAGAGGGGAACTACTTATTACAGCCCCCCCCCCCCCCCAGGGACCCTGATGCTATTATACAAGTGGTGAGAGGGAACTACTTATTACAGCCCCCCCCCCCCCAGGGACCCTGATGCTATTATACAAGTGGTGAGAGGGAACTACTTATTACAGCCCCCCCCCCCCCCCAGGGACCCTGATGCTATTATACAAGTGGTGAGAGGGAACTACTTATTACAGCCCCCCCCCCCCCCCAGGGACCCTGATGCTATTATACAAGTGGTGAGAGGGAACTACTTATTACAGCCCCCCCCCCCCCCAGGGACCCTGATGCTATTATACAAGTGGTGAGAGGGAACTACTTATTACAGCCCCCCCCCCCCAGGGACCCTGATGCTATTATACAAGTGGTGAGAGGGAACTACTTATTACAGCCCCCCCCCCCCCCCAGGGACCCTGATGCTATTATACAAGTGGTGAGAGGGAACTTCTTATTACAGCCCCCCCCCCCCCCCCCAGGGACCCTGATGCTATTATACAAGTGGTGAGAGGGAACTACTTATTACAGCCCCCCCCCCCCAGGGACCCTGATGCTATTATACAAGTGGTGAGAGGGAACTACTTATTACAGCCCCCCCCCCCCCCAGGGACCCTGATGCTATTATACAAGTGGTGAGAGGGAACTACTTATTACAGCCCCCCCCCCCCCAGGGACCCTGATGCTATTATACAAGTGGTGAGAGGGAACTACTTATTACAGCCCCCCCCCCCCCCCAGGGACCCTGATGCTATTATACAAGTGGTGAGAGGGAACTACTTATTACAGCCCCCCCCCCCCAGGGACCCTGATGCTATTATACAAGTGGTGAGAGGGAACTACTTATTACAGCCCCCCCCCCCCAGGGACCCTGATGCTATTATACAAGTGGTGAGAGGGAACTACTTATTACAGCCCCCCCCCCCCAGGGACCCTGATGCTATTATACAAGTGGTGAGAGGGAACTACTTATTACAGCCCCCCCCCCCCCCCCCCAGGGACCCTGATGCTATTATACAAGTGGTGAGAGGGAACTACTTATTACAGCCCCCCCCCCCCCCAGGGACCCTGATGCTATTATACAAGTGGTGAGAGGGAACTACTTATTACAGCCCCCCCCCCCCCAGGGACCCTGATGCTATTATACAAGTGGTGAGAGGGAACTACTTATTACAGCCCCCCCCCCCCAGGGACCCTGATGCTATTATACAAGTGGTGAGAGGGGACTACTTATTACAGCCCCCCCCCCCCCCCCCCAGGGACCCTGATGCTATTATACAAGTGGTGAGAGGGAACTACTTATTACAGCCCCCCCCCCCCAGGGACCCTGATGCTATTATACAAGTGGTGAGAGGGGACTACTTATTACAGCCCCCCCCCCCCCCCCCCAGGGACCCTGATGCTATTATACAAGTGGTGAGAGGGAACTACTTATTACAGCCCCCCCCCCCCCAGGGACCCTGATGCTATTATACAAGTGGTGAGAGGGAACTACTTATTACAGCCCCCCCCCCCCCCCCAGGGACCCTGATGCTATTATACAAGTGGTGAGAGGGAACTACTTATTACAGCCCCCCCCCCCCAGGGACCCTGATGCTATTATACAAGTGGTGAGAGGGAACTACTTATTACAGCCCCCCCCCCCCCCCCAGGGACCCTGATGCTATTATACAAGTGGTGAGAGGGAACTACTTATTACAGCCCCCCCCCCCCCAGGGACCCTGATGCTATTATACAAGTGGTGAGAGGGAACTACTTATTACAGCCCCCCCCCCCCCCAGGGACCCTGATGCTATTATACAAGTGGTGAGAGGGAACTACTTATTACAGCCCCCCCCCCCCCCCCAGGGACCCTGATGCTATTATACAAGTGGTGAGAGGGAACTACTTATTACAGCCCCCCCCCCCCCCCCAGGGACCCTGATGCTATTATACAAGTGGTGAGAGGGAACTACTTATTACAGCCCCCCCCCCCCAGGGACCCTGATGCTATTATACAAGTGGTGAGAGGGAACTACTTATTACAGCCCCCCCCCCCCCCAGGGACCCTGATGCTATTATACAAGTGGTGAGAGGGAACTACTTATTACAGCCCCCCCCCCCCAGGGACCCTGATGCTATTATACAAGTGGTGAGAGGGAACTACTTATTACAGCCCCCCCCCCAGGGACCCTGATGCTATTATACAAGTGGTGAGAGGGAACTACTTATTACAGCCCCCCCCCCCCCCAGGGACCCTGATGCTATTATACAAGTGGTGAGAGGGAACTACTTATTACAGCCCCCCCCCCAGGGACCCTGATGCTATTATACAAGTGGTGAGAGGGAACTACTTATTACAGCCCCCCCCCCCCCCCCCCAGGGACCCTGATGCTATTATACAAGTGGTGAGAGGGAACTACTTATTACAGCCCCCCCCCCCCCAGGGACCCTGATGCTATTATACAAGTGGTGAGAGGGAACTACTTATTACAGCCCCCCCCCCCCCCCAGGGACCCTGATGCTATTATACAAGTGGTGAGAGGGAACTACTTATTACAGCCCCCCCCCAGGGACCCTGATGCTATTATACAAGTGGTGAGAGGGAACTACTTATTACAGCCCCCCCCCCCCCCAGGGACCCTGATGCTATTATACAAGTGGTGAGAGGGAACTACTTATTACAGCCCCCCCCCCCAGGGACCCTGATGCTATTATACAAGTGGTGAGAGGGAACTACTTATTACAGCCCCCCCCCCCCCCAGGGACCCTGATGCTATTATACAAGTGGTGAGAGGGAACTACTTATTACAGCCCCCCCCCCCCCAGGGACCCTGATGCTATTATACAAGTGGTGAGAGGGAACTACTTATTACAGCCCCCCCCCCCCCCCCCCCCAGGGACCCTGATGCTATTATACAAGTGGTGAGAGGGAACTACTTATTACAGCCCCCCCCCCCCCCAGGGACCCTGATGCTATTATACAAGTGGTGAGAGGGAACTACTTATTACAGCCCCCCCCCCCCCCCCCCCAGGGACCCTGATGCTATTATACAAGTGGTGAGAGGGAACTACTTATTACAGCCCCCCCCCCCCCCCCCCAGGGACCCTGATGCTATTATACAAGTGGTGAGAGGGAACTACTTATTACAGCCCCCCCCCCCCCCCAGGGACCCTGATGCTATTATACAAGTGGTGAGAGGGAACTACTTATTACAGCCCCCCCCCCCCCCCCCCCCCAGGGACCCTGATGCTATTATACAAGTGGTGAGAGAGAACTACTTATTACAGCCCCCCCCCCCCCCCCAGGGACCCTGATGCTATTATACAAGTGGTGAGAGGGAACTACTTATTCCGCCCCCCCCCCTGATTATAATAATAATAATTATAATCTAAGGAGTATGTTATATTAACACCCTGTATTTCAGTGTCGAGATCACCCTTATAAATGGGATGTGTACCAGACAGGGGTCTGGGTTAAAAGTTTCGGACTCCCAGACGTAGCAGAAGTGTTCGAACACCATGATATCAAGGGAGAGCATCTCAAATACATCAGGTACCTTTCAAAATATATTAATATTATATATATTAGAATATAGGTTTTTTTCCAATTTTGACCAGGGGATATACTTTAATATACTTAAATATGGTTGCCTCCCCCCACCCCCCTCCCCGTGTAATAAAAAAGCAACGAGTTACAAAGTAATTAGCAAAGTAATTAGCAAAGTAATTTACAAAGTAATTGGCAAAGTGATTAACAAAATAATTAGCAAAGTAATTAACAAAGTAATTAACAAACTAATTAACAAACTAATTAACAAACTAATTAACAAACTAATTAACAAACTAATTAACAAACTAATTAACAAACTAATTAACAAACTAATTAACAAACTAATTAACAAACTAATTACCAAACTAATTAACAAACTAATTAACAAACTAATTACCTGGCAGCACGGAGGACCTGCGGGGTATAGGTATAACTGACGAGGGGAGTCTAACCCGAATAGCGAAGGAAATTACCAGACTTCTGACGAAATACGACAGCACTGGGCACGTGTAAGCTCGCACTGGGCACGTGTAAGCTCGCACTGGGCACGTGTAAGCTCGCACTGGGCACGTGTAAGCTCGCACTGGGCACGTGTAAGCTCGCACTGGGCACGTGTAAGCTCGCACTGGGCACGTGTAAGCTCGCACTGGGCACGTACGTAAGCTTGCACTGGGCACGAGTAAGCTCGCACTGGGCTCGCAGTGATAATTTTATGTTTTAGTGGAGGACCATGAATTTTAAGCTTACATTCTTTCAGGGTTTTTTAATTTTAAGCTTGAAAATACATTATATATATTGTACATAATATATTAAGAATTTGCAGAATTGTGCAAGAGGGCAGTAGTATTTGCATTGTGAAGAGGTATGAGTAACATGTTAAGCTATAAAGTCGTGATCCCAATAATCACATCCTTCTCGCATTCAAGTTGTGTTTTTGCAGAAAACTTGGTACATTTTTGCATTTTAGCAGAAAAAGTAGTACACGTTGATATATGTACATTTTATTTGATGTATGAAGTTTATTTTCGGTAAAAATTGTAAATAATACAATCAATTTACGCTAAAAGTAAAACGAATAAAAACTTGTAGTCAAAATATAATTGTACATGTTTCAATACGATAGCCATCTATCTACACAGTAAATTGCGAAGGAAGGGAAACCAAGAAAGTCAAACAACTTTAGATTAATTAAATCTCATTTTTAGCAGAAATAATTATGCAGCCCACGTATAATGTTCAAAAAGTAAGGGACGACGTAATTAAGGGACGACGTAATTAAGGGACGACGTAATTAAGGGACGACGTAATTAAGGGACGACGTAATTAAGGGACGACGTAATTAAGGGACGACGTAATTAAGGGACGACGTAATTAAGGGACGACGTAATTAAGGGACGACGTAATTAAGGGACGACGTAATTAAGGGACGACGTAATTAAGGGACGACGTAATTAAGGGACGGTGTAATTAAGGGACGACATAATTAAGGGACGACGTAATTAAGGGACGACGTAATTAAGGGACGACGTAATTAAGGGACGATTTGAACGGGAAATGGTCGGGACAGGTTCCACTCAGTAACCGCAATTTAAGCCCATTTGGAGGTCTTTACAGTGTTCAAATGCATCGATGTAAAAAGTGGCAAGAAAGTGGCAAGAAAGTGGTAACTGATACTTTGGGAAATCTCTGGGATGACAGTAGTGTATACTATATACCTCTGACTCATGAGACTTGTCCCGACCATTTCCCGCTGAAGTCGCTTTGGTCCAAATAATTTCCGACAACATGCAGCTAAAATGATCTATATTAAACTCAGTTCATAATATTACTCTATAGTCATTTTATTCTGATATATGGAAGAAAAGAATGTCCTCGGAAAAAGTTTGTAAGTGAGGAAGGGGTTGAGTTATAGTGATATTATATATCACGCACTATTGTATTGATGTAATAATGAGGTATGGCTGCAGTTCCTTTAAATTACAAACCGTTCAGATCCATTATTTCCTCCTCATCGTCCAGATCACTGATAACAGAATCAGATAACTCCTCCTCCTCCTCCTCCTCACTACTGGTGCTCTCTTCATATTGACCCAGAGAGCTGAGAGGAGTTGGAGGGAAGAGACCTGAGAACTCCTCTACCTGCTCCATTCTCAGGAACATTAAACACACCTGCCAAGGAAGAGAAGGGTCAAACACTCAACTAAAGTGTGAACATTGTAGCATATTTACTGGGACAGTGAACAGCATGCAAGGTAAGTTTACCTTACAGTGAACAGCATGCAAATTGCAAGGTAACTTACCTTGACGATGTCTCTGACATATCCGTCGTACTTGTGGGACCGACCAAAAACCAACTTCCTTAGTGCTATGTCTTTTGTCTTCGGATGTCGTATCACTCTACTACTGCAGCACATACATGTTAGATTGAAATCGTGGAATCTCTGAACGACAGTCAAATTAACATGATAACGTAGCTTTCAAATTTGATCAATTGCGCGCGTGATTTACAAGAACGGTTACACGATTTGTATACTAAAATGTTTTCGCGGCGTACGTTTATAGTACAAGGAATTAATAGTGGCCACTAGAAGGGATCCAATTTCATTAGTGAAATCTCATTTTATTTTTCTGCCCTAAACTAATGAAGTCTTTCTTGACGTTAACCACATTCAACGTGAAATTAAGTTTTTTCATTAAAGTAGCAACCCAAAGTTAATGAGATAGGTCGGGTTTACTAGTAGAGCTCAGGCTTGTGAATGTCATGAGGGCCACCGACAGAGGATATACTTAGAGGATAATAAAGATACCTACGGTTGCCATGACTACAGCTAAATATATCAGGACACCTCATACACTGGTGTGTCAGTTCTCACGGCCTGTGTTTGCTTATTACTCTAGTAGCAGGGAGGGGTCGGTATGTTACCTACCTACGTGTAGGTATATAAGCTTATTGGGAATACTTGAACTGATAAGTTCAAGTATTCAAGTGTTAAGGTCACTGGTGAGCGGTCTCAGGTGTGGTATTTGCACTGACCTCTGTAGAGTATGGAGTAGTAAGCGTAGAGTAAGAGTGAAGGAGTGGTGTAGAGGTAGAGGCCCTGTGTAGCCAGTGTCTAGTGAGTGCTCCTTTATTGCAGTGTTAACAAGTGCTACACAGTCCTCCAGAGTTAGGTGCAGTGAGTGCAGCATTCGTAACTCACTCAGCAGCACTACTGTGCTGTGTAGTGTAGTGGAGTCCTGTAGTGGAGAACAACTAATTAACAACTAATTAGCAACTAATTAACAACTAATTAACAACTTATTAAGAACTAATTAGCAACTAATTAACAACTAAATAACAACTAATTAACAACTAATTAACAACTAATTAACAACTAATTAACAACTAATTAACAACTAATTAACAACTGATTAACACCTAATTACCGTCTTATTAACAACTAATTAACAACTAATTAACAACTAATTAACAACTGATTAACAACTAATTAACAACTAATTAACAACTAATTAACAACTAATTAACAACTAATTAACAACTTATTAACAACTAATTAACAACTAATTAACAACTAATTAACAAATAATTAACAACTAATTAACAACTAATTAACAACTAATTAACAACTAATTAACAACTAATTAACAACTAATTAACACCTAATTACCGTCTTATTAACAACTAATTAACAACTAATTAACAACTAATTAACAACTTATTAACAACTAATTAACAACTAATTAACAAACTAATTAACAAAGTAATTAACAACTAATTAACAAACCGTTAAATGAGCTAATTGACTGAAAGGTTGCCAGGTAGACTTGCCACTGCACATCAACCAACGCTCATCTAGCTTCTGAGATACAGTTGCTTATATTAGATCAGATACTGTGGTTAACATTATTTTAATTTAATCCAGTACCAATTACCATGCAGACATTGTTTGAAGTTTTGAATCATCTTACACTACGTAAGCTAAAGATTGTGTGAATTGTTTGATTATTGAGTACCCGGCAACTACCTGTACTTACAGTAGAGAATAGCATGGTACCCGGCCACTACCTGTACTTACAGTAGAGAATAGCATGGTACCCGGCCACTACCTGTACTTACAGTAGAGAATAGCATGGTACCCGGCCACTACCTGTACTTACAGTAGAGAATAGCATGGTACCCGGCCACTACCTGTACTTACAGTAGAGAATAGCATGGTACTACCTGTACTTACAGTAGAGAATAGCATGGTACCCGGCCACTACCTGTACTTACAGTAGAGAATAGCATGGTACCCGGCCACTACCTGTACTTACAGTAGAGAATGGCATGGTACCCGGCCACTACCTGTACTTACAGTAGAGAATAGCATGGTACTACCTGTACTTACAGTAGAGAATAGCATGGTACCCGGCCACTACCTGTACTTACAGTAGAGAATAGCATGGTACCCGGCCACTACCTGTACTTACAGTAGAGAATAGCATGGTACCCGGCCACTACCTGTACTTACAGTAGAGAATAGCATGGTACCCGGCCACTACCTGTACTTACAGTAGAGAATAGCATGGTACCCGGCCACTACCTGTACTTACAGTAGAGAATAGCATGGTACCCGGCCACTACCTGTACTTACAGTAGAGAATAGCATGGTACCCGGCCACTACCTGTACTTACAGTAGAGAATAGCATGGTACCCGGCCACTACCTGTACTTACAGTAGAGAATAGCATGGTACTACCTGTACTTACAGTAGAGAATAGCATGGTACCCGGCCACTACCTGTACTTACAGTAGAGAATAGCATGGTACCCGGCCACTACCTGTACTTACAGTAGAGAATAGCATGGTACCCGGCCACTACCTGTACTTACAGTAGAGAATAGCATGGTACTACCTGTACTTACAGTAGAGAATAGCATGGTACCCGGCCACTACCTGTACTTACAGTAGAGAATAGCATGGTACCCGGCCACTACCTGTACTTACAGTAGAGAATAGCATGGTACCCGGCCACTACCTGTACTTACAGTAGAGAATAGCATGGTACCCGGCCACTACCTGTACTTACAGTAGAGAATAGCATGGTACTACCTGTACTTACAGTAGAGAATAGCATGGTACCCGGCCACTACCTGTACTTACAGTAGAGAATAGCATGGTACCCGGCCACTACCTGTACTTACAGTAGAGAATAGCATGGTACCCGGCCACTACCTGTACTTACAGTAGAGAATAGCATGGTACCCGGCCACTACCTGTACTTACAGTAGAGAATAGCATGGTACTACCTGTACTTACAGTAGAGAATAGCATGGTACCCGGCCACTACCTGTACTTACAGTAGAGAATAGCATGGTACCCGGCCACTACCTGTACTTACAGTAGAGAATAGCATGGTACCCGGCCACTACCTGTACTTACAGTAGAGAATAGCATGGTACCCGGCCACTACCTGTACTTAAAGTAGAGAATAGCATGGTACCCGGCCACTACCTGTACTTACAGTAGAGAATAGCATGGTACCCGGCCACTACCTGTACTTACAGTAGAGAATAGCATGGTACCCGGCCACTACCTGTACTTACAGTAGAGAATAGCATGGTACTACCTGTACTTACAGTAGAGAATAGCATGGTACTACCTGTACTTACAGTAGAGAATAGCATGGTACTACCTGTACTTACAGTAGAGAATAGCATGGTACTACCTGTACTTACAGTAGAGAATAGCATGGTACTACCTGTACTTACAGTAGAGAATAGCATGGTACTACCTGTACTTACAGTAGAGAATAGCATGGTACTACCTGTACTTACAGTAGAGAATAGCATGGTACTACCTGTACTTACAGTAGAGAATAGCATGGTACTACCTGTACTTACAGTAGAGAATAGCATGGTACTACCTGTACTTACAGTAGAGAATAGCATGGTACTACCTGTACTTACAGTAGAGAATAGCATGGTACCCGGCCACTACCTGTACTTACAGTAGAGAATAGCATGGTACCCGGCCACTACCTGTACTTACAGTAGAGAATAGCATGGTACCCGGCCACTACCTGTACTTACAGTAGAGAATAGCATGGTACCCGGCCACTACCTGTACTTACAGTAGAGAATAGCATGGTACCCGGCCACAACCTGTACTTACAGTAGAGAATAGCATGGTACCCGGCCACTACCTGTACTTACAGTAGAGAATAGCATGGTACCCGGCCACTACCTGTACTTACAGTAGAGAATAGCATGGTACCCGGCCACTACCTGTACTTACAGTAGAGAATAGCATGGTATGAGCAGCTGTCATAGTGACAGGAACTAGTTTGTTATCTACATTCTTAGTCGTCATGGCAACTACAGGGCACAGATGCAGGGTATACCCATTAACTCCAACAACCTAGGTTAGGGATTGTAATATTTGAAAACAAGTTCTATATTATAATATCATAGAGAATTATATCAAAAGATACATAAATTAAAAGCCATTAATTTGAGAAATTACCAGATAAAGATAACTGGTAAAGAAAACTGTTTCTTATTTAAACAAATGGTATCCACTAAGTACTAACAGAACTACAAATTAGATGACTAAAGACACCTGGAACTGGGTGCTCTGGTTACAAACTAAGTGGGGGAGATACTACTAGTGGGGTAAGCTACTGTAACCCCCCCCCCCCTAACCAATAACTTGCAGCTCTAACTCTAACCCTCCCCCGGCCCTATCAAGACTCTAACCTCTATGTAAGTGTCACATCTGAAGACAGAGAGATTAGGAAGAGTTAGTTTGACAAGGCAGGTAACTTGCTTTAACAATGTGGAGGACTCTATGGTGTTGTAGTCCTTGTCTCTCACTAAGTAGTGACCTCCCACGTGTGTTTTTAAAACCTGGATAATTACTGATTACCGCAAACAAACTCCCATTATTAAGCAGTACAATACAGTATAATAAATTATCATTTTCACAAAAACCATTTCGGAGGTGCAACATGGAGTTTCCTCTGCAGTGTGATTGCACATTGCCAACATGGTGGCACAACGGTAGCACCAGGCTAACACCATGGTAACACCATGGTGTTATATGCGGAGTACAAGTAGTCCCTCCCTTACCTGTGTGTCTGATTGCTTGACAGGACAGAGCAGTGTTACAATGTTTGTATTGTACCCCCTCTCCCTTACCTGAGTGTCTGATTGTTTGACAGGACAGAGCAGTGTTACAATGTTTGTATTGTAGCCCCTCTCTTACCTGAGTGTCTGATTGTTTGACAGGACAGAGCAGTGTTACAATGTTTGTATTGTACCCCCTCTCCCTTACCTGTGTGTCTGATTGTTTGACAGGACAGAGCAGTGTTACAATGTTTGTATTGTACCCCCTCTCCCTTACCTGAGTGTCTGATTGTTTGACAGGACAGAGCAGTGTTACAATGTTTGTATTGTACCCCCTCTCCCTTACCTGAGTGTCTGATTGTTTGACAGGACAGAGCAGTGTTACAATGTTTGTATTGTACCCTCTCTCCCTTACCTGTGTGTCTGATTGTTTGACAGGACAGAGCAGTGTTACAATGTTTGTATTGTACCCCCTCTCCCTTACCTGTGTGTCTGATTGTTTGACAGGACAGAGCAGTGTTACAATGTTTGTATTGTACCCCCTCTCTTACCTGAGTGTCTGATTGTTTGACAGGACAGAGCAGTGTTACAATGTTTGTATTGTACCCCCTCTCTTACCTGAGTGTCTGATTGTTTGACAGGACAGAGCAGTGTTACAATGTTTGTATTGTACCCCCTCTCCCTTACCTGTGTGTCTGATTGTTTGACAGGACAGAGCAGTGTTACAATGTTTGTATTGTACCCCCTCTCCCTTACCTGTGTGTCTGATTGTTTGACAGGACAGAGCAGTGTTACAATGTTTGTATTGTACCCCCTCTCCCTTACCTGAGTGTCTGATTGTTTGACAGGACAGAGCAGTGTTACAATGTTTGTATTGTACCCCCTCTCCCTTACCTGAGTGTCTGATTGTTTGACAGGACAGAGCAGTGTTACAATGTTTGTATTGTACCCCCTCTCTTACCTGAGTGTCTGATTGTTTGACAGGACAGAGCAGTGTTACAATGTTTGTATTGTAGCCCCTCTCTTACCTGAGTGTCTGATTGTTTGACAGGACAGAGCAGTGTTACAATGTTTGTATTGTACCCTCTCTCCCTTACCTGTGTGTCTGATTGTTTGACAGGACAGAGCAGTGTTACAATGTTTGTATTGTACCCCCTCTCCCTTACCTGAGTGTCTGATTGTTTGACAGGACAGAGCAGTGTTACAATGTTTGTATTGTACCCCCTCTCCCTTACCTGTGTGTCTGATTGTTTGACAGGACAGAGCAGTGTTACAATGTTTGTATTGTACCCCCTCTCTTACCTGTGTGTCTGATTGTTTGACAGGACAGAGCAGTGTTACAATGTTTGTATTGTACCCCCTCTCCCTTACCTGTGTGTCTGATTGTTTGACAGGACAGAGCAGTGTTACAATGTTTGTATTGTACCCCCTCTCCCTTACCTGTGTGTCTGATTGTTTGACAGGACAGAGCAGTGTTACAATGTTTGTATTGTACCCCCTCTCCCTTACCTGTGTGTCTGATTGTTTGACAGGACAGAGCAGTGTTACAATGTTTGTATTGTACCCCCTCCCTTACCTGAGTGTCTGATTGTTTGACAGGACAGAGCAGTGTTACAATGTTTGTATTGTACCCCCTCCCTTACCTGTGTGTCTGATTGTTTGACAGGACAGAGCAGTGTTACAATGTTTGTATTGTACCCCCTCTCTTACCTGAGTGTCTGATTGTTTGAC